TTTTGCCTTATATAGTTTTGAGGTCTATTTGATGTTTTGCATCAATTTAACTTGTTCAATTTTTTTTTTTGAGCCAGTACAAATATATATTGATGATGAAAATTTAAAAAAAAAAAAAAAAAAAAAATACTCGATCCGTTTTTCGCCAGGGGGGGGGGGGGGGGTATCCTGTCTAAAAAAAAAACCACGTTTGTAAAGTACAAGAAAAGAGGACATAGGGTGGATTAATCTGTTAATCTGACTGGTGTATTTTTATACTATTATTATTATATCTATGACGCAGTATTTTTGTCTGTTCCCCGTCATTGCAAGTTTAAGAGTAATGTCACACAGGCTTGGGAATTTGTTTATACTACACAAGACTTCAAACTAATGTTTTCCACAGTTTAACTCTTTATTATTATTTTTTTATTGATTCATGTGTGAGATTTCACTGATCTGTTACAAACTATTGAGGGTGACGTCACAATGGCTTGAAAACTCTCGATTTGCACACTAAATATGCACCTCTTAGCTGGAGGTGAAACAAGTGGGCGGATCATGGATCTTCAAATTTCAAAGACCGATTTCTGTACTTAAGACATTCCAGTTTCCTTTCCTCTTGTGATATTCAATTACCTGGTTAAAGGAGAACTTTTTACAAACAATTAAAAGTACGTGTGCTGAACAACAAAGACAGTATGCCTTATATTACGTACAATGCTTAATCGCCATTTTGCATTAGAAAAGTTCGGGAAAACAGTGTACCTGTGACGTCGTATTTTACAACTGTGACGTCGAGTAGTGGTTGTCTGCATTAGGAAGCTGCTGTAAATTTGGTAGTGTTTACATCGCTGCGTTTTTCTGGGCGTTTCGTTGGATTTAAAAGTTGTTACGGTTGTGAAAACATATGTAGGTGTTTGCAATTGTCGTGCTGAATACGCACCGGTATGTATTTTCGTTTGCTGCGAGTCATTTCTTCAGTCGGGTCTTCGTTCATGGGGACTATGAAGCCGTGCGTTGTTGGCAATGTTTAACGGATATCTACAACTCGGAAGGAACGTTTTGCGATAACAGTGGAGTCGTAGCATAATATAATGACGGAAATTCGATGGATTATTTTAATATCGCCGTTTTATTGCAGAAAACTGCAGAATTTAGCGAGAAAATAATGACGCATGCGCAAATGGGGGTTAGTCGTTTTTTGATGCCAGGCATCGACTAACCCCCATCTGTGCATGCGTCATTTTCTACAGATACAACAGTAGAACACCAGATACACTGCATAAAAGACATTTACCCTAGAAATAATAATTATGACTGAAAATAAACAATAAAAATATGAAATTGGAACACAATAAAAACATGAATGAATAAAAATAAACAATAATTCAATTATATTAGCTTCTTATATACACACTTACCCATTTAGACAGTATCTACTACAGTGAAAACTGATATTTCAAGCAAAACTAAGTTAGTCTTCAGGCACTACACCTGATTTTAAAATTTTATGAAAATCCAGGATTTATAATTAGTCTAAGATTAAATAATTCCCTGTTATTGTACATTATACAAAGATCAAAATTTGTAGAAGAAAAGTTGTCACAATATCAGTTCTTTATAATCATCATTCCATCCCATGATTTTTGAAAAAAAAAAAGCTCTATAAACAACAGTACTTTTCAAGCAGACATGCACATTCAAAATTCTGAACTTGATCAATTTAATATATGGACTTGTGGTGCTTCTACTTTTGGATGGTTTCCGTTGTTTTCTCATATAGTACTCGACACTCTAAATGGCAACTGGTATGCTATTCCCTTTGTTTACAACAGTTAATGAGCAATGTAGGACTAAAGTTATACCTACACTACTGTCACTATCTTTTATGATGGTTAAACACAACAAAAGGCACAAGATTCACTGCTCGATGTGATTTTAGAAAATTCTTTCATTTGTAAAGTTTGTTTCCTCCTTTTTCACTAAATTTTGAAGTTTGGACAGGAGAAGAAAACCTCGACTGTTTGAGAAGACCAAAGAACTCTTCTGCAACTTGAACTTGTCTGAAAAATTAAATGCAGTAGCATATTACCAAGTATTTTAAACTCTGAATAAGCATAAAAAATATTATGGAACAATTAAATTCCTTATCTCTAAAAACCATTTTTAAAGTCTTAAGATATTTTTTTTTAAATGGTAGTTTAAAATAAAATAAATATCTATACCCATTTTATAAAATGGGGTTCTCCTAATTCATAGGAAGGACTTTCAAGAAGAAAAAAAATTACACCCAACTTTGAAATAATTTTGAAAAAGACCAAAAATTAAGGCACTTAAAGCTTAATGGAAAAAAGCTTGCTTATTATTTTTGGTTGACATTAAAAGGGTTTTCCTCACTGTTAGCTTAAAAAAACTACTTACTTGCACATGTTGCATCACATGAACTCCTTTTTTGTGAGAAGATAATTTCCATATTTCAGCAGGATTCCGGGAAATAAATCCATAAATGTTAGATATATAATTCTGTCTTGAAATAACCACAATCAAGTGGTACATAGGCTATGTTGTTGTTCTCAAATCGAGTGTCGCATGACTCGAATAAGTCCGCATTTCCTCGCCAACATGACTTTATGATTGAGAGTTTCAATAAAACTGCTGTTTGGCAACGATTATTTAAAGTGCGTTGTGTAACGCGAAGACCAATTTTCTTTGAAGTCTGTTATAAACTCTTGTGCATCTTTGATAACGCAGTCAAACTGTAAAACTATAACAATCCTGCCCAAATCCGCATATGAAAACAGACAGGTTTCGAGCAACCTGAACCCGATCAAATTTGATATCGCTAGATTTCAAGGAAAAAGATGTTTAGTTTGAAGTTATACATTCTTTAATTTTCAGTAGATTAATTAAACCAAAATAAAATGCCAAATTCGATGTTTAATCAATTTGATTCTGTTTTTTCGGTATCAGCGTACTTAACAACGGAGCGCCCTCAAGCGACAAATTAAGTCATAAATCAAGAACGATAACTGAAATTCACTAATATTGGAAGTAATTATCGGGGTAGTAAACGCTAGACTCGCAATTTTCCAAACTTTTTAAAATTTAAAATTATAGTTTTTAAACAGCTGTTTCGTTGTTCATTATCACTTTCTCTCATAACGTTTGCTGTTTTAATTTTTTAAGGTTTCAATATCCATACCATTGTATAGATTTGTACTACTCATGTTCATAATATTTTCTCAATATATTGCCGATTAAATTAGAACAAGCCTGAATATTTCCAAATCATTGAACATATGTAATATATATGTCCTGATGCATAACCATGTGAAGTTTCAAGTCAATTCTCAAACACTGACTTATCACGAAAATTTGATTTTGCCTGATTCTTACGTGGACCTGTACTTATGTCATCCGCAAAGAATAAATGTCCGACATCAATATTCTGTAATTCAGGAGGGTTTGTGTTATAATTAACTAACTGCAAGTAGAAGTCATCAATAGATATATTAAAAAGTGTTGGGGAAAGATTATCTCCTTGTCTAACCCCGCGTGTAGCTATAAAATGTTCACTATAGCAAGATTCATCTTTACAGCAATATTTAGTGTTTGAGTACATATTATTTATAACATTGTAAAATTTCCCACCTATGCCCTTTTGGTATAGTTTGTGTAACATTAAAGTTCGATCAACTGTATCAAAGGCTTTGGTAAAATCCACAAAACATGCATAAATGTTTTGTTTCTTATATTTTAAGTACTTATTTATAAGAGTTTTTAAAATAAATATGTTATCTGTGGTACGGTGGTTTCTTCTGAATCCAAATTGATAATTACTCAGAAGGTCATTTGTTTCCAAGTACGAATTTAGGCGGCATTGTAAAAGTCCATTAAAAAGTTTACCCATACAGCTTGTAACACTTAATCCTCTATAGTTTGATGGGTTACATGGGTCACCAGATTGATAAATAGAAGTTATTTGTACCAAATTCCAGGCTTCGGGTATTTCCCCAGAAAAAAGAATTTTATTAAAGAGTTTTGTTAATATATTTAGAAGTGTACTTGAACCACTTTTAATAAATTCATTGAGTATTAGGTCTTTTCCAGGTGATTTACCAGTTTTTAGATTTTTAATGCCAAGCTTGACTTCACTGTATGTGAAAGGGTAGTCAAGGGGAGTAAGTTTCTGTTCTCAGATTCAACTACATGTTCACAGGAGTTATTGCCCTTAGAGCACAGTAAGTTTTGATAGTGATTCATAAATGCTTGAAGTCCTGGAGTGGAAGAATTTGAGTTTTGCTTAATTTTATTTTTATTTAGGACCTTCCAAAAATCTTTTGAATTGTTCTGATTTAGGTTGTCGATGTTGTCAGTTACTGTCTTATAAAATTCATGATTTCTTTTTCATTCTGTTAAATTCTCGTTTAGCATTTGTGAAAGCCTGTAATAAATTGCAATCTTTTGGATTCATTTGAATTCTTCTTCCAAGTTTGCGGACTTCTCTTTTTAGTAGAGATATATCATTAGACATCCAAGGTTTTGGTTTTCTTTTTCTTATTTTACAATTATATATTGGTGGTTTAAAGAGAAGGGTTTTAGATGCAGCTGTTAAGTATATTTTAGTTAATTTACTGTTAATATCATCAATACTAATGTCTTTCTCATTTAGACTTTTATCAAGTTCAACTAGGCTGTTAGAGCTTTCTACATCAACAAGGGCTGTTTGGTAAGCAAGTTTACATTGATTAGACCAAATGTACTGTCCTTTCAAGGGGGTAGATCTGCATTCAATATATGGTTCACATTTAACTGGGCAATTAAAAGCACCAGACTTAAATCTAGTACAAATAATGCTATGATCAGACAATTCTGAAGGTGGTATAACATTGAAATACAGTACATTATGTAAAACATGGCTGGTAGCCAACATGTAATCAACAGTAATCTATTAACTTTTTCGGAATAATAGGGTTTTATCGTATATAGTTTAGATTTATGGACGTCAACGTAATTTCCGATGCAGCTTTTGAGGAAAACAAACAATGAACCATCGATTGTATGTTTTGTCAAAGTTTGAACCAAATTTGAACTGTCATGGTTATACCTAACAATTAACTTAGATTTTACATCGATTAAGATTATGTTCAAATATTTTTCTATATCTTTCATGATACTGTTATGAACCTCACTCGATTTTAACAACAGGTGCATTTTAATTAAAATTAAAACTTTTATATTTTACAATAAACAGGCTGTCTTGTATAAAACAAAAACAAAACGAAAAAAAAAAACAAAACAAAACGTACTTGATAAAGTAGAATGTGTGGGGCTAAGATATTTGCATGTGCATGTATTAAATGTACATACGTATACATGTATTTAATTTTGAAGAACAATATTTATCGATAAGAGTAAAACTCTCACTGCCATGATTATTATAGTACACAGGTACATGTGTAAGTTACGTGTAGATTTAGTGTTACATTGAACGGGTATCTATTGACTGTTAAGGAACGTTGAAGAGTCTTTAACATATTTTTTTTTAATTTTTGGAAGCAATTATAGATCAATTAAAAAAAGAATTAACAACTCTCTGGAAGAGAGAAATATGCATCTAATGTAATTCTCTACAGTTTCTGCTTATCTTCCTGATTCCCGGTTCTTCATGAGTTATAGAAAAGATGAACATGATTAATTTGAATTCTTTAAAATTGTGATTTATTAAAATATTTTTTCTTCTCTTATAAGCTGTAGTGATAATTTTATAAATAAGTTTTCTGCTATTTTTGCCTTTAATAATTGTCATGACTGTAAGCCAACATGGTAATGTCAATAAATTGAACTGAATATTGAATTTATTTAAAGTGATGGTTTCAAAGTGAAAGAGAATGATGGAGGAGTTAGTATATCATGTGAAAAGTACGGAAATAAGTTTCAGCGAGAATTTCATCGAATGTGGAAGGAGCAAATACTGTGTGATGCCACAATTACAGTAAGATTGTTTAAAAAAAACCTTTCACCAGCTAGAACACCATGAATTTTTATATCTCACTTTTTTTTTTTGGGGGGGGGGGTCAGGTTTATTTCTAAAATTTTAGTATGATGTTTCTGTACTATGTATATTATGTACATGTTATTATAAGAAAATAGTGATCGGGAGATTTTAATATGTAAAATGAAAGATATATGCAATTATTTTGATATTTTGTTGCTAATTGTTGCTTCCAAGGTTTGAGATTAATCTTTGGATTATTCAGTTTGGTACATGTTTTTTTCTGGTCATAAGAAATTGAATAATATCAATACTGGACTGGTGATTATTTTGCTATGTACAATATTATGAAAAGATTTCACAAAGGTCACATGTACAGATACATGTTACATGTACATGTATGTACTTTTTCACTGCAGACAGAGACGGGGGAGGAAATCCCCATACACAGGGCGGTCCTGTCTATGCACAGCGACTACTTCAGGGCCATGTTTACATCTGGTCTACAAGAGGCTCGTGTCGCCAACCCCAAAATAAGTCTGACAGAACACCCAGCTGACATTGTTAAAGGTGTCCTCAAGTTCATGTATACTGGGATTCTTTCAGGTAAAAATGTTATTATACAGTTGAACTTTGTTATCTCGAACACTTACATCTCAAATACCATAGATATGTTGAAGAGATTTGCAAGTCCCGACCTCTTATTATTTATTTCACCCTGATAACTTGAATCCTCAGATATCCCAAAGTTTTTTTCTTGGTCCCATTGAAATTGAGATAGCAAGATTTGACTGAAGATAAATGTACAGAGTTTTTATGCAGACTTGAACAGGGAGACAGTCCAGGACTATATTATGTTGATGGACCAGCTACAGATGTTAACACTAAAGAATGCTTGCTGTCCGTACATGGAGGATAATATTGACACTAACAACTGTCTAGGTAACCAGAAACTGTATACTATATAAATACATGTAATAAGTATACGGATAATTAATGATTATATCAGTACCAAGGAACTGTATAATTAACTGTCAACTGGCAATTTAAGAAGGGTGAAAAATGTGTGAAATCTTGCAAGATATCAAACAGCTTGTTTATTATTTCATGCTTATAGCTGTGTTAACAACTGACAACTGTTTAGGAAATAAGTAATCAACAATTTTTGGGTAACCCTAGACCAAATTTGTGTATTTGTAACTTAGTCTAGTAATGTGCAAGTGGAAGCACTGTTTATATAGGTAAAAATAAACAGTTAATATATGAATAATCAAGGACTTAAAATTTCATTAGGGATGGGCTGATACATGTACACCTTCTTCTATATCAATACTGTTATTATACATATCATAATATTTGTGCCAAGATATGTTACATACCACCAAAAATTTTAAATGGTTATAAATTTTTTATTTTGTATTGAAATAAACATTATACTAATTCAGAAATAAGAATAATTTATTCATGTTGTAAAACAAAGTTATTAAAGACTTAATTACTACACATTTCATATTTATATTCATATTTAAAATTTATTTTATATTTTATAAAGCATAAAACATGAAGTAAAACATTTAGGAAAAAGTCTGAAATTTTGCTTTCCATATTGCTACATGTTATTTTCAAGACACTTATCATCATACAGAATAGATATAAATATTTTGGTATATAATCCCTGCCCAACTTTAGATCTTGATATAATTACAACTTCAGATCTTGATATAATTAATGGTAAGTTCTTTTTTAAACTCTTTCAGATGTCTGGATATTTGCACAAAGATTTTCCTGTGAAGAAATGCAAAGAAAATCCTTGTCTCACATTAAGCACCAGTTTAGCTTCGTTTCCTGCCAGGAAAATTTCCAGCATTTGGAAACTGATGCTTTGTTATTCCTCCTGCATTTGGATGACCTTAACATGAGTAAGTATATTTTTTTAAAAAAAAAAAATTAAAAAGTTACATGAAATACACATGAAACAATGTGATCCAATCAGATTAAAAATTTTATAATTTTTATTGTTGAGGAAATTTAATTTGGATGATTTGTGAATCTCAAGCCCATTAAAGCTTAGGGAAATTTCTTAATACTATTTTCTTTTTGAATTCAATTTATTTGAATATTTTCTTCACAGACAGCGAGAAAGTGATACTGGATTGTGTTCAGAGATGGTTAGAAAATCACAAAAGAGCGAGTACAGAGACTATGTGGGACATTGTCCGGTGTATACGATTTAATCAGCTGACACATCAAGAAATTTCTGTGTTCTCAGAGCAACTCTCACAAAGCAACCCCAACCAAACCCAAGGTAATCTGTTATAATGACTGGGAGTGACCTGCAATATTCCTTTGAAAAATAACTCAACTGTAAATCGACTATTTTTCTTGACATCTTTCATTTGTGATTTAACAGCTTAAAATCCATTTGTGACTATAAATTGTCATGAGTGAAGAAGCAATCTACATAAATGCAGAAATATATATTAATGATTCATTGTCAAAAAAAATATATGTCAAGCAAAAGAAGGATGTGAAACTTGCAGATATTTATCACAGGGGAATAAAAGTTAATTTATAAAAATAAATGGGAGTCTTAAATAAAAAAATTTCAGCTTGCCAAACTTGCTTAAGATATTTCTAGGTAAAATTGTACTTTAAAAAAAAAAATAAGTGAACCTTTTTCAGAAGGATCTTAGGTGCAAAATGTTATTTTAATTCTCAGAAATAGATAATTACATACAACAGTATAAAACAAATGTGAAAGATCGTCCAAGAAATGAAAGAAAACACATCTACGTTATCGGGGGATACTTCCAGTCCAGGACCGGGTAAGTACAGATAACAAAAATTAGCTAAAATTATTTATATACTATAATAATTATGTCAAATTTATATGTTCTGTAGTTCTTTGGATAAATGAGAGGTCAGTAGCCCCTCAGCTTCTCATATTGGCTTAAATTGAGCAGTATCTTACACCATACAATTACAATTTTACAAAAACACTGCTTATATGTTTTTTTTGTAGTCCTTGTTCGCCTCGCCTTCAGACCGTGGAACAATATGATGCCATAGAAGACGCGTGGAAATCCACAACCCAATTCCCTGTCCTGGCCTCCGCCATCTATGCAGTGGAGATTTTTGGAAAACTGATCTGTTTTACATCCTACTCAACAGTGTTTCTAGCTGCTTTTGAATTTGATCCCATTCAGCTAAAATGGAGAGACTGTTCTTTGCAATTTCATGAAAACTGTTTGAAGAACATGAAGGAATGTTTCAAAGTAACCGGTGCCATTACATATTGTGATGAATCAAATACACTGTTTGTGTTGTGTAACAATAACACGCATGCCTACAGAATGAGCTGTGATAATGGAGACTTACAAATCAGTGCCACACAAAGTTGGAAGTATCCAATGAACCCTTCTCTGGCCTCGTTTGCAGCAGTTACACTGAACAAAGATTTATATGTCCTCGGCGGGGAGGAGAGACTCTCTGTAAGGGACGTCACTCAGATTCGTGATGTCATGAAATGCAATGTCCAACGTAATGAATGGGAGAAAATGACGCCTTTGCTAGAAGCTAGAGCCAGCTTTGATGCTGTACAGTTTGGTATGTTGTTAAATCTCTCAAAGTAGTATTTAATTTTAGCAAGATAAAATGTGAATTGTATGTCACTGCCATAATTATTTGACACTCCTTTTACAAGGTCACAGGTGCGTGAAAGTCAGTCAATATATCGAATCTCAGTAGCTCGGTGGTTAGAGCGCTGGCACGGAACGCCAGAGGCCCTTGGTTCGAGTCCCGGTTGAGACTTGATTTTTCACCACCTGTGACATGTATCTAAATTTTTTGTTGATTTATTTCAGTTTAAGTAATACTATATGTACATATACATTATGCCTCTTATCATCATGATAATAATGAAGAATATAGTTTTAAATTAAAAAGGTATGTGTAATTACCTGTCCAGCTATTGTGTTAAAACCCTATAGATTTAAGCATTCTAGATATAAATGAAGAATTAAAATTCAGACTATGAATTCAGTGTTGTTTACATTTGTAATGGTTTTGGCCGTGGATATCAGCCTGGATAGCTCAGCTGGTAGAGCATCTGTCTAGTGATGCAGGGGTCTCGGGTTCGATTCCCAGTCCTGAAGTACATTTTCTCCTTCCTGTTACACATTTATCTATGCATTGATTGAATATATATCTGATCACAAAGAAGTGTTTCTGAAGCTGCATATGACTTATCTTTCCTACATTACACAGATGGAAGGATTTACGTAGTCGGTGGCTTTAATAACAGAAGACTGCGTACAGCTGAGATGTACTCTCCAGTGACCGACCAGTGGACCTTTATATGTAGCATGAATAAAGAGAGAAGTCATCTTAAAGCAGCCGTATTGTCAAACAAGCTGTATGTAGTAGGAGGTAAGTTATGTAATCATGATATATATAAAACTGTGATATGTAACAGAAGGTAAATAATGTAATCATGTAATCTAAAGCAGTTTTACTGTCAAACAAGTTGTATGTTGTAGGAGGTAATTAAGTAATGTAATCATGTAATTTAAAGCAATCATACTGTCAATTAACTGTGTTTTATAGGAGGTAAATAATGTAATCATGTAATCTAAAGCAGCCATACTGTCAAACAAGCTGTATGTTGTAGGTGGTTAGTAATGTAATCATGTAATCTAAAACAGTGGTACGTAATAGGAGTTGTATGTAATACTGCAGAAGGCAAGGGGATATTGTTTACAATTTATTATTTTGCATGTTCTCTTCTTTGAAATGTTTCTTTTGACACTAAGACTTTATTGAAATTACTTTAGAAACAGTAGTATTTTAATTTATATTTTGAGATATTTATTTACTCTAAGGACCTCGTATAGTCTCCTATATGTCAGTTGTTAGATCACTAGTCACATTTCTCTCATTTTGTAATGGCTAACTGTAACATTTTCTTAACTGGATTTCTTTTTTATACATTAGTTAACTTTGGTGTATTTCTTCCTCCTGACAGGTAAATCGTATTCCAGATTTGAGGGTGGGGCCAGGAAAGTGTTGAGCTCAGTGGAGGTCTATGATTCATACACAGATACCTGGAGCTTCATACAACCAATGCAGCAAAGCAGGTGTATGTTTGGAGCAGTTGTTCATTAATTATGTGATTCAATGTAATTTTGAAATAAACTTAGCCGTTTCCATCAGGACAGGTGTCTGTTTCAGCCAATGATGTTATAAAAAGCTCTGATGTAATCTCTGCATTATCACAAATTTGATTTCAATGCCATAAAAAAGGTTTATATAAGAGTATCTCACAAATACAAAAAAGACTTTACAATATTTAATGTAATGTTAAAATAATTAATGCAATGTTTAGATTCAGTTAAAAGCTGTTTTCCCCCATGTCTTCTATTATACCCCCGCTCCGAAGGAGAGGGGGGTATTCTGTTTTACCCTTGTGTGTCTGTCTGTTTGTCTGTCTCTGTGTGTGTCCGTATGTCTGTGTGTGTGTCCTTGTGTCTGTCCGTAACAAATTTTCATCGCAGTTTTCTCAGCAACTACTCATCACAGATGGTTGAAATTTTAGCACAATCTTTGTTTATAGGCATGTCATATGGTGGGATTCATTTTTGTTTGAATCCGATGTCAACTTCCTGTTATTCTGTGAGTCTGTCTGTACCAAATTTTCGTCACAGTTTTCTCAGATGCTTGAAATTTTAGCACAATCTTTGTTTAAGCATGTCATATAGGGGGATTCATTTTTGTTCGAATCCGATGTCAACTTCCTGTTTATACGTGCGTCTGTCCGTACCACACATAACACACATTTTGGTCGCAGTTTTCTCAGCAACTACTCAGCACAGATGCTTGAAATTTTAGCACAATTTTTGTTTAGGCATGCCAAATTGTGGGATTCATTTTTGTATGAATTCGATGTCACCATGAGAGTCTATATTCACATCACAGTGGGGGTATAATTAGTGAGCATTCGCTCACAGACTTCTTGTTTATATAATGTCTGTAATATAGCTATGTGGCAAACAAAGCGTGTTTTTTTTTTAATTTGTGCCATCACTTACGTAATGTTGTAAACACAGTGCTTTGCTTTCAATTAAGCTGATGTTTTTTTTTCAGTCCACGTTAAATTTTAAATGTAGCTACATTGTTGGCTTCCAGAGGACAAAGTTCTTATGTCTAGAGGCATTGTATCGGGAATGTATAAATTTATCTATTCACAAAAGCTCTTTTTAGGCAACATGAGTTCGCGTACCTATCAATTTTACCGAAATTTTCGCACAATATACATTTATACTATGAGTGATACATGTTGTGAGAGTAAGTCTATGTCCAAAGTTTCTAACATTCTCAATGATTTTGCTTCAATATTCCTCATTTTGCATTTACTAGCTAAGTTTCCATGATAATCAAGATATTTTAATCAAATGTATTCACTTATACACCTTGTGTTAAAATCTGATGCTGACCGTTTGTTTATCCTTGACTTCAGTTGATTAGCTTAGCTTAAAATAACCCTTTTTCACGAAATCTAAAACTGTATATGCATTGGTGGGTTTAAATCTATCAAAATTTTCTTGCCTTATTTTCTGTTTGATACTGACGTCAAATGGTATTATCACCACAGTCACAAATGAATATAATACTAATTTTAAACCGCTTTTATCATATTAAATTACTAAAGAAGAAGGTACGGTTTTGGCCTTATTGTGCCTTGAAAATTTAATGTTTTCAAAATGTGTTGAAATCGGCATAAATATGAGTTGAGTATATGAGTTTGATAATTCATGAAAGAATATGGCATGAAGGTGTACTATTCTGGAAATATGACATCATTAATTTCATATTTTTCTAAGTTTTAAGCAGAAAAAGCCTCAAAATGACTCATTCCAGGGGGTATTTTCCTTGAGAAAATAGTGTCCACAGCCGTCGCCCACTTCAATACTCGGATATGTGGTGTAAAAGCCTGTGAAAAATCACAATTCTAAAAATCTTTGTGGGCGATGCATGTGGTCTACATTATATGAAAGAAAATTTCACTGAAAATATATGTCTTCTGCAACTTTTTAAGAAAATACGGGAAAATGCACAAGTTTATGACGTCACAGTTAGCATTTAGGAAGTCAAATGAGAAAAACAATTTGTTTGATTTTAGTACATGGAGTTTCAACATTTCAGAAAGCACAAATTTTAATTTCTTTCATTGCTTTCATATTTTAGAAAAATACAGGGCCAGATTTGTATTGAAACTGTACCTTGTTCTTTAGAAGAAAAAAAATCATGTTTAAGTATAGGTATTTATTCTAAGTAAAACTTCTTTTGTCTAGACAACAACATCATACGACATACACGTCAGAGATCACGTGTAAATTTGGCTAATAGAGAGAAGGGCTGTTAATAATAACACATTGTCATCATTTAGCTGTGTTGATAGGATGAATCAACTTACACCATGTGCAATTACAGAGGGATAACATTCTATACCACAGGTATCACTTCTGTAGATAAAGTAGATATTGTGATAGGATAATACAGAAACTTCATCCAACCATATACAAGTAAAGGGTAATCTAAAGAGGACATTGGTACATTACTAAATACTTATCAAAAGTCAAGTTCAGTAGGAATGTTTTTTTTTCTTGTTCTTATATTTTATTAATGCTGAGAATGAATTAACAGGAGGCTATCTTTCATTTTGCAATAGATATACAGATTTTTAGATGGGACATTTATCTGCTATGGGTATATATATTTTTTAACATATAAATTTGTATACATATGCTGCAGGCAGCGATTTTAATAGGCATTCATTGACTGCTATATATATATTAATAGTTGTCAGCAGAAAGTATCATTGGTCATTATTCTGTACCAAAATTTTTACATTAAATAAAATGTATTTACTTATGCAAATAAATGCAATTATGAAGAAATAAACAGTACTTTATCAACTGTACTTACAGTGTTTGTTCATGTTCTGTATAAATTAATGACTGTTTTTTTTTTAAACTGGGATATTCTTTATATCATCATAGCGTCATATACAGCGAATATAATAATCTGATTTATTACATTTTCAAGAGTGAAATGTATTGTGATTTATTTATTGAATAAAAGTGATTTTCTTTCACGGTGTGAAAGGATACCAAAGTGATATTTCATGACGTATATTTCACAAAGAGAAATACTAAATACTCCGGGCAAATGAATTGTCGAAGTTCAGTATTTCTTTAAATTAATAAGTGTATACAAGTGGTTTGACAAACTCCTTTAAAATGCTTTATAAGTTAATTCCAAGTGACACTTCACAGATAATTTTTTTATTTGTCTTCTATCATTGGTGACACTGGTTTTTGCTTAATATAGCTACGAATTATGAGATTCTCAAAGCTGATTTTTTTGTTTTAATGCAACTGCAATTTATATGTTTGTCTTGAACACTTTGCAGACTAGCTTTACACATGATTATGACTACTGCCGTAGGTGTATCTCATGATATTACACAGTTTTGTTTGTTGCGGACGGACTGATTCCTTCTTTTATTAACCACATTTCTTTTGTAAGATTCCAGAAGAGACAAAATTTCCATATTGCCGTTTTCCTCAGCGATAGTGTAGGGAGTTTTACCAGCCTGCAAAAATGATACACAAATACATGTATACATTTTATTACATTTTCAAGAGTGAACATTGTGATTTATTTATGGAATAAAAGTGATTTTCTTTCACGGTGTGAAAGGATACCAAAGTGATATTCTGTCACAGTGTGAAAGGATATCAACGTAAATAAAAATAATTTCTGGCCTGTAATAAGATAGAGATAGTAACTAAACCATCTTGATAGAGACTAAAACTGCCAATTTCTTCCCAAATGTGTTGCTAAAATCAATGTTAACAATGTTTTCAATCTCACAACTTCTAAGCAATGACGCCTCAACTATGACGTCAAATCCTATGACACTGTGTAAAGAAAAGACAGAGGCAAAGGGAAAATCAAAGGAAATGTAACAAACAGAAAATTCAATGTTTTGTAGTTGGATATGGAATTTATTTCACTCGCGAGACAGGATTTTTTTTTTTTTTTTTTTTTTTTTTTTTTTTTTTTTTTTTAATATATTTTCACTCATGCTTCACACTGGTGAAAATATGAAAAAAAATCCTGTCCCACTGTCCCAATTCTATATCAACTACAAAACATTGAATATCCTCTATATCTGCAGCTCGTTTTTATTATTAGATGTATATGTACAGGAATGTGTTGGGGGCTTTGGAGTTGTGTATCATCATGTTATCACAATGACGTATATCTCACAAAGAGAAATACTAAATACTCCGGGCAAATGAATTGTCGAAGTTCAGTATTTCTTTAAATTAATAAGTGTATACAAGTGGTTTGACAAACTCCTTTAAAATGCTTTATAAGTTAATTCCAAGTGACACTTCACAGATAATTTTTTTATTTGTCTTCTATCATTGGTGACACTGGTTTTTGCTTAATATAGCTACGAATTATGAGATTCTCAAAGCTGATTTTTTTGTTTTAATGCAACTGCAATTTATATGTTTGTCTTGAACACTTTGCAGACTAGCTTTACACATGATTATGACTACTGCCGTAGGTGTATCTCATGATATTACACAGTTTTGTTTGTCGCGGACGGACTGATTCCTTCTTTTATTAACCACATTTCTTTTGTAAGATTCCAGAAGAGACAAAATTTCCATATTGCCGTTTTCCTCAGCGATAGTGTAGGGAGTTTTACCAGCCTGCAAAAATGATACACAAATACATGTATACATTTTATTACATTTTCAAGAGTGAACATTGTGATTTATTTATGGAATAAAAGTGATTTTCTTTCACGGTGTGAAAGGATACCAAAATGATATTCTCTCACAGTGTGAAGGAATATCAAAGTACGTAAAAATAATTTCTGGCCTGTAATAAGATAGAGATAGTAAAAAAGCAATCTTGATATAGAGACTAAAACTGCCAATTGCTTTAAGAAATTAATTTAGTATCTGTACCCAATTTATAATGTATATAAACTGGGTTTGGGGCAGTTCACGCTTCATAAACCGCGAAGCGGTTTATAAAAAAAAGAGTAAACTGTTCCAACCCAGTTAATTTATACTGTATAAATTGGGAAACTATTAAATTCATTCTTTATAATTTAATTTTCATTCATTTAGAATACCTACAAATGACTTCAAATTGCACAAATTTAAATGTAACGTCAGGCGGATCGATACGTTTTTGACGCAAGTCATTGTGAGGTAGGCAAAACAATTTATACGATTTAAAGTAATTTTTTAATCTGATCAAATTGCGCATTATAACCAGAATTAAATTATTCCATAAATGTTGCTTAAATTATGTTACAATGTTTTCAATTTCAATAACTGCTAAGCTATGACGGTTCAACTACTCAACTATGACATCACAGCCTATGACACTGTGCTGAGAAAAGACAGAGGCAAAGAGAAAATCAAAGAAAATGTAATAAACAGAAAAATCAATGTTTTGTAGTTGGGTTATGTAATTTATTTCACTCGAGAGACGCTCGTGTCCAACTCGTGAAATAAATTCCACATCCAACTACAAAACATTGAATATCCTCTATGTATTTGGCATTGAAATGAAAAAAAAAAAATTTTCAAACAGTGACCCTGGTAAGTAATTATGATATGTTTGTAAATTGAAAGTCTTACGTTGTTCGATATTTGTGTTTTAATTTTTGTTTTTTAATAGTTACGCAGTTTGTTACGTTTTTTAATACTTAAGTTGTTTGTTTTTTAAATATTTATTACGTTGTTTGTTATTTGTTTTTATATACTTACTTTTTTTTTTTTTTTTAAACTTTTTGTTTTTTAAATACTTTACGTTGTTTGTTATTTGTTTTTTTAATACTTACGTTGTTTTGTTGTTTGTCTTTTAATACTAACGTTGTTTGATATTTGTCTTTTAATACTTACGTTATTGTTATTTGTTTTAATACTTACGTTGTTTGTTATTTGTTTTTATACTTACGTTGTTTGTTATTTGTTTTTATACTTACGTTGTTTGTTATTTGTCTTTTAATACTTACGTTATTTGTTATTTGTTTTAATACTTACGTTGTTTGTTATTTGTTTTTATACTTACGTTGTTTGTTATTTGTTTTAATACTTACGTTGTTTGTTATTTGTTTTAATACTTACGTTGTTTGTTGTTTGTTTTAATACTTACGTTGTTTGTTATTTGTTTTAATACTTACGTTGTTTGTTGTTTGTTTTAATACTTACGTTGTTTGTTATTTGTTTTTATACTTACGTTGTTTGTTATTTGCTTTTATACTTACGTTGTTTGTTATTTGTTTTAATACTTACGTTGTTTGTTGTTTGTTTTAATACTTACGTTGTTTGTTATTTGTTTTAATACTTACGTTGTTTGTTGTTTGTTTTAATACTTACGTTGTTTGTTATTTGTTTTTATACTTACGTTGTTTGTTATTTGCTTTTATACTTACGTTGTTTGTTATTTGTTATAATACTTACGTTGTTTGTTATTTGTTTTTATACTTACGTTGTTTGTTGTTTGTTTTTATACTTACGTTGTTTGTTATTTGTTTTAATGCTTACGTTGTTTGTTATTTGTTTTAATACTTACGTCGTTTGTTATTTTTGTTTAAACATGTTTATTACTTACATTGTTTGTTATTAGTTTCTTTAATACTTACGTTGTTATTTGTTCTTTAATTCTTACGTTGTTAGTTATTTGTTTTAATACTTACGTTGTTTGTTATTTGTTTTTATACTTACGTTATTTGTTATTTGTTTTTAAACTTACGTTGTTTGTTATTTGTTTTTATACTTACATTGTTTGTTGTTTGTTTTAATACTTACGTTGTTTGTTATTTGTTTTAATACTTACGTTATTTGTTATTTATTTTAATACTTACGTTGTTTGTTGTTTGTTTTTATACTTACATTGTTTGTTATTTGTTTTAATACTTACGTTGTTTGTTATTTGTTTTTATACTTACGTTGTTTGGCACAGAGAGGGTTGGCATACAAGACAGGAGGAGCCTCGTTGTTCCCAGCTGACCCCGCGTCACAGCGAGGTGCAGTGGAGTGTTCCCACTCTATAAATATTTGCATTTGTTATAACATGTATAAAGAGTGTTGAACTCTTGGACATTTATAATAACCATCCTCACAAGCCAGGGGTCCTCAGGACCCTGGCTTGCGAGGATGTTATAATACCATAAAAATACATTATCTGTGATATTTTTAACGATTGGCATAAAATTACGTTAAATGTGATTAAAATTCAGTGTCTATGGTAAAATGACTTCATATCCCAAAAGTAGGTAAGTGTCACTTTTACTCATTATCGTCACTGACAAGTAATCTGTCTTCTACAAGATGTGAGTATATCGAGAGGGGATTTATAGGTCGGGGATGAGGTACTGTAAATCACTTTTTATTCGCGAGAACTTTATTTTCGCGTAATTACGCGAGACAGTACTAGTGTGCTTGAAAAAAAAAAATCATTCTCGTGTATATTAGTATTCCTAAAGATTATATAGAGCAATAACCAATATTCTTGAATATTCTGTCTCACTAGTGGAGAGTCAATGGCTTTCTCGCGAAAATTAAGTGTCCCGAAAATTTAGTGCTCTACAGTATTTAGTATTTTACATTTTAAACTCATATTGCCTAACCCTGTTTTTGTTAACGTCTCTCTATTCCCTTAAGCTTCTTTATAACCTCTTTTGACAGCATTGGGAGATAATCTCAATAGGGGTTACATGTCACCTTAAGTGCTCGGCCATTAATATCGGCTCCTCTTCGGATGAGAGCTTCTATCAGCTGATTTCTATCTACGGGGTCATTCCGCATTATAGCCTGGTGTAATGGGTACAAGCCATTCTGAAATAGTCAACAGTTGAGTTGTTATTCGTCTCATTGTTTGAAGATTTTTCTTTTAACAAAGACGGCAAATTAAAACCGTTTCAATTCTGTGGTGCATTTTTAATGAGAGGTCTGCAGTTATTATATCTTCACGTAATCCAATAATCACGTAATAGATTTTGTACATTTAACCAGATTTCTAGAATTATGAACGAATGAAGTTTTTTTTTATTACATCTATATCTATAACTCAATTGTGATGGTATTAACTTGATTTCATATTTACATTAGTATATAAAATATGTAAATGTTTGTTGATTATTCAATAAAAGGTGAATTAAGAAAATGTTGTTTGATTATCGTCATAAGTAAACTTGAATCGTGTATGAAGTACTTACTGCGTTTCTGATGTTAACATTCGCATCAGGATCGTTGATAAGTTCATCTAAACCGTCATGTTCCTTCCTTCGATCTTTCACCGAGGCCTTGATATTAGGAATAATTAAATGATTAATTAATTTAAAAAATGCATAATTACACTTTTGATATGGATACTGCCATTGAAATTGTTAGCACAGCATTCACTTATTATACCTGTATAAACTGCTCATAATACTGTTAATACTAAGATACATAGTATCATTGTAACATATAATATTATGCTTTATTTATAGTTTATAAATCTGAATCAACAAGAATATGTTTTAAAAAAGTAAGTTAATGACATTTAATGATTTGTTTATATATTTAACTATTTTGTTTTTCCTGAATAAAGTATCCTGGAGAATATTGTATTTTCAGTCATTTATGCTCACATGTATTATGAAGAAATGGAATATTATAACCGTACCTACAGATCCCATTTTCCATCCATTACCGTGTAAAAAAGTTCTTTGATCATCATGTTAGAAATTTAAGTGAATGAGACTTTTACCTCATCAAAGGATTGTGTTCTCCCTCTTTCTTCTATCTCTCTCGGTTCCTTTAATTATATAAAGAAAAGTAAATTACTTAATGCGAATCTTTAGGTTTATTTAAAATTGTATTATGACGGATTAATTAAGATTTGAATGAAAATAGTTGTTACATGTAAAAGGGGTTACTTTTCGTGCTTATTTGTAACGAGAAGAAAATTTAATGATAAACGTCTTTCTGACCATTAGCAACCTAACTCAACATTAATTTTTTTTAGACTTGAGACGGATCTTCGCCTTTCAAAATAAGAACAAATCATCACGATAGATTAAGTTGAACACTTCCTTTTCTCTTTTGGAAAATTAACTTTAGGACATACCGCTTTCCTGGCAGTCAGTGGAGTCTTCTTCTCTGGTTTCTTGCAACGACGATTAAAGTAATTAATCATACAAAATCCATTTATTTCATGGCAATAAATAATAACACATTATGAAATAAATGAAAAGTATCTTTCTAAAGCATTTCATTTATCTACATCTTCATGCCCATAGTACAATGTCTGTCCATTATCCAAATGTTTGAGAAAATGAATCAGCAAATCATAACAAATATGCTATCATTATTTAGGTGAAACATTCCTTGTATACAAAGGTTTACATTTCCTCTTTAAATTTTTGTTAATTGTGTTTAACTAATTTAAGTGATATGATTTGACCACAATAAATGCTCGTGCTTCATCATGAATTATAATTCTATGATTTTAAATCATCGAACACATCATTTAATGTGGAATACATCTGTGAAATAAAGTGAATTTGTCTTTCAAAAATATTATAAAATCACACACGGGATATTATGCTTGTTACTGAGTACGGAGTATATGGACACATGCACAGCATAAAGTTGTGTAATACAATTACCGTATTCTTCTTTTCTACAAAATGCAACTTGATATTTCAAATAAAAGAGAAAATTGAAAAATTCGATATTGATAAAGGTAAAATGCAAACTGTATTTTTTCCCAGTCGATAAATGACTACTTTGATGATTACAAATCTATGTTTGATTACAATCTTTTTCATTAACACAATATAGTAAAAATAATTTCTATGACAAAGTCTGTTAAATGCTACATATGCACAAGATATTCTACAATGTTTCCATAGATTGTACCTTGTCATAAAACAAGCACCACTAATTTGGTGGGGGTTTGAAAATAGAATATTTGGCCGGTTGTCTGCTTTTATTCAAATTACAATGTTACATAAATGGGTATATATTTATCTCAAGATCATTCACATTGACAGTACAAAATACTACTTCAAAGCATTGACGTTTCAAATATGCCTTACTGTGGTTTTCTTGTTACTTTAAAGCTAGCTTTTTTCAAATTTAATTTGAGAGGCGCACAAGCTTTCTTCCCACTAAAGATAGTGTACTGTAGTTTCATTATTTTTCGGTAAATAATTCTTTGTCCCCCGCTTTCACTGAAAGTGGGGGATATTAATCTGGTTCTCTCCGTCCGTCTATAGTTGCCTGTATGTCATCCTGTCTGTCTGTACATGTAACACTCGTTTCGAACGGTATCTCAAAAGCCTGGAGCTTTTTGCAAAAAAAAAAAAAAAAAAAAAAAAAAAAAAAAAAAAAAAAATTGTATCCAACTGCCTATGGCCTATAAAAGACCCCTTTTGATTTTGAGATCAATAGGTCGAAGGACAAGGTCAGAAATTCATATACTGCATACATAGTTTGCAGGTGATAACTTAAGTTTTCTGTAAGCATTGCTTTAAAACTCTCTTGACATTAAGGCCTCAGTGGTTTAGGTCAATCTTTTTTCGTTCTTTTCTTCTCATTTTGGGTTTTCCGTGCTCTTCTTTTCACCTTAACCGGGGGGCACAGTTCCGTTATGGGGTCTATGGCACTCCAAATTCACAAAAAATGATCTAAAAACAGTTTTACGCTTCATAAACTAGGTTTATCAATTGTAAACTGTAGCTTAGGAAGCGAGAACTACAGTTAACACATTGTACATGTTCATTAAAATTTTCATCTGGAAAACTATATTTGACATTGTGAACTATTGCTTACGAACGTAGAACCACGGTTATAAGCCTGCAAATATTTGTACATGATAGTTTTTGCTAATAAATATCAATTACCGGTATCACTTGTAAACTATAATTAGCATAAGATAACCATAGTAATGAGTTAATAATCGTAGATTCACAAATCGTGAAACTATGTTGATCAGATAAACTATGTTTTCGTTAACTGCAGCTTAGAGTTGTTAATCATAGTTTACTAATCGTGAAACTGTATAAATCAGATAAACGTTTTTGCTTCGTAAACTATAGTTTACATTTAATAAACCTACATGAAATATGGAGATAACGAACAGAATTCAAGCTAAAAGTCCATTTAAACAATACAATCGGAAGCAGAGCAAATACGGACCTCAATACATCAGAGGTGGGATCAGGTGCATGGAGGAGCGAGCATCCCCTGCTGACCGATCACATCCGCCATGTGCTCCTTGTCATGAGTGGGAAAAGCGGGGAAAATCCGTAGACAATTCAGTGTGTAAATAATGGCCTAACAATAAGTATGAAAAACGTCAGTCAGCATTTGACTTAATGATAGGTTGTATTTGCTGACAAGGTCATTGTATCGACCATAAAACTTGCCAAATGACTTCAAACGAGACTGTTGGTATACTTGTTTCATCAACTTGTTTGTCAATAGCTTGCCTCTGTTTAGAAACTGTTCATACGTAGAGCATGCTCTTGCGTATCGAATCAACTGGGAGACAAAAACCCCACATGGAGGTGATAAGGGTATATTGCTACATAAGTAGGGGAAGTTGACGATTGAAAAAAATGAAGTCGTCACACATTTCATAAAGCTTTGTTGTTAGGTTATCATTAACGCTTTTTCCAGTAAAATATCCAAATATGAAACAGATGTGTCAGACTCTGTGGTATCTTTTATTTCAAGCTCACTGGGATATATCGAGTCGACATATGAATGAAAGTAGCTATTGTTAATTTATAATGCGTCGTCGTTATATCAAAATGTCGAGTTGAATGCCACAGCAAGTGTTTCCTTCTTCTCATGTAGAAGTTTTTGAATAAATTCTGCTTCATTTGAAAACATCAACTGTAAAGTATGTTTAGCTCATTTTTGTGAATTTGGCGTGCCTTAGTGGTCAGCAAACCAAACATTTTACGACTGATAAGCAAGACGAGGTATTTGTAAAATAACGTATATATATATATCACAGAACTTTTTTTTTTGTTCTGTTGTTTTGTTTTGCCCCAAAACATGGGATTTGGTCCCCAACAAAATTTAATAGAAACCACATTATAGTGTTATCGATATCTATTATTATCTGTAAAATAGCTATCGGAGAGTATGTAATTTTAATTGCTTTTTCACACACAACTTGAAAGGAAGAGGTCAATGAAAAGTCTGTCTTTCGGATTTTAACGCCAAATTTATATTAATATATTTAGATGGTAGATTGATGTTGATCTTCACTTTAGACGACAGGACTTGGACCTGTTCAATAGCTTGATATTGTAGACTGTTTTTAACAAAATACAAAGAAAAATACATTTTGTTGAAGATTTTATTCAAATGTGATAAAATATTCATTTTTAGTGATGATAACTGTACAACTATCATTATTCGTAAAAAAAAAATATATGGTATAATACTAACATTGCCTAATATAGTTTATAATGTTTAGATTAAGTCCATGCTTATTATTCCATAGCTATGAAAAGATATCAATAAAGAGATAAATGTTAGGTGCGCAAAAAAATGAGATATACTGAGTATATATTTTTATGCATCAGCTATTCTTCCTTCCGGTTAATGATTTTTCTACAATGTCACCATCTGTCTTTTCTACGTGTGTTAGGGAAGGCTGCTCGAGGGTCTTGACCTTGAATAAAAGTACGAAATCAAGGTCAGATTAAAATAGAAAATGAATTTAGAATTTTGTATCGAAAGCGATGTACCAATCGAAAAGAAGTTAAGGAAGGATATTTATTTAAAGATGTACTTTTTCATATTAAATCATAGCACTTTAAAATCATAGAAATTTCCAAACTGCGCTATCTATCTCTTTAATCAGAAGTTTTATACAGTGTCATTTTAGCGGATATATGAATTTATTAAATGTTGAAATATGGCGTTAAAATCCAACAGAAAAAAAACCCCTTCATTACTTTATAAGTCAGAAAAGCAGGAAAGAGTGTGAGGAAAATGCTTCCCAATTCAAAATTTTCAAGCTTTTATTTTCCGTTTGTTGTGTCAATAAATTATTATATTTGTGATCTAATAAGAGATGAGCTATATTACCGTTATCTTCACCCCTGTATTCCTTTAATAATGTCATCATCTTCTCGTCATTGTTACTCTCGGCGTAATCGTACGGCGTCTTCAAATCCTGTATAGAACATAGTCAAAGTTATTTACATTCTCAAGTGTTATTGATACTACACAAAACAAGGGTTTGTCAAAAAACACATCCTGTATCCTAGTACAAAATTAATTTCTCTTTGCATGAGAATAGGACAACTTTTGTGTGCGTATTTCAACATTTCGATGCATTTATTGAAAAATTCAATGACGAATAAACAATCTGAATCATGCATTTCTTAGGTCAGCGAAGCATACCCTTTGGCTTATTCAAGATATTTCAAATTTCTTTAGATATAGTGAAGTCTTACATACATCGTTTTGTGGTCGTCTTTCAGCTTTGTGGTTCAGCAGGATCTTTGCTATTTTATGTTGTTTTCGTATGGATGCCATATGTAGAGGCGTGTTCCCTGCCTGTTAGAAATGCTTATTACTGATACGTTATTCTAATGTCACTCTAATATCAAAAAATACAACTCAAAGTTTAAAGTAAAACTTGATGGCCAAACATACCTTAAGTAGAAGCTTTCCTTGCATTCTCTGAAATATACATTATATTTTTTAAGTCTTCAAAAAGATATATTTACAACTTATTCATGTCATTTAATAAGTTGGAGTTCTTGTCATTAACTACATGTGTATTGACTTGAAACTACTCAGTGCCACGTGCTGTTTTAAATATACTTAACTTGATGAATGAATTTATATTTTACTCTTTTACTTCTTACTGGTATTGCTTTAGCGTTGATATCAGCACCTCGACTGATCAGACGTTTAACAAGTGTCTCCCGAATTAATGGATCGTCCTTCATGATTGCAACGTGAAGGGGAAACAAGCCACTCTATAAAATAGCAAACTAGATAATTAACTAAATCTGACAAGCTGTAAGTGTTCAGTATTGTAATTAATATAAATTGGTTTGTGTTATACATAATCTCAGGCAAGGAATAATGAAGTCAGAGCTTTAAAGCAAAATCAAATAGCAAAGATTCTGATTTAACTTAGACATTGCAGATGTATACTGCTTCCAGTTAAACTGAGGGGCATTCGAAGCGTATGAGCATGTTATTCAACTCTTGAATTTTTGAGAAGTACTGGGTGCTAAAATAACCGTGTATAATTATATGACTTGATTTATGTAGAAGTTTTAGTTGGAGAAATGTGCCATAAATTTAATGTGTATTCTTTGTTTAAATTACTTCGACAAAAAGGAAATGAATATAAAATAAAATTGAAATTTTGATTTTATCAATAAATAGAAAACAATTACATCAATTCCAAATTACAAAACTACTATTTCAAAGTCGCGTTTCGTCGTTTAAGAAAATTCCCTACAAAGCGCCCATTCTCTCAGCGTTTTGCTACGCAGTACAGTTAAGGTGACAAATGGAAATATCGGCGATTTTTTTAGATAGAAAATACATACCTTACAAGGATGGGGGCTTATTTTTAGGACTTTACTATTATCGGACAAATGTAATGTGATTGAAAACTACATGTTGAGGACGATTAGATTTCTTATTTAGACTTGTCACGTGATGTGGCAGTCATGTGATTTTAGCAAATATATCTGCAGTATTGAGGTCATCTATAAATTCCAATATTGCAAGGGCATAACCAAGCTATAAAATCTAAGTTTAATTTATAATTATTTTCAACAAATTTTGCAGTTTGTAAAAAATGGTGAGAACCTATATAGATTCTACTATCTAACTGCTAAAATTACATTTGTTAGACGGTATGCTGAAAATTTTGCTGGTCAAGTACATTTATAGACATAATTAATTCATTTGCAAGATTTCATCAGGTTCGCAGCAGTTTTCAAATATCTTCATATCTCTTGAGTTTATGTGTAAAAGATTGTCATAATTCATTGAGGGTATGCCCTTGCAATACATCGATTTATTCCGACCCTTCTATTACCCTTCAATGAATCTGCATACAAATATACGGCACTTATCGCTTGTCTAGGGAATGTACGGGAAGTATATGAATAAAATCATAAAATATACATCCCATCCAAGTTAATGGCCTTTTTTATAGCTGCAAATAATATTTTATTTAATTACAAAATACATTTTTCATTGTATAAAAAATAACTTGATCCGCCTCTCACTGCATACAAACTGCGTCAAATTTTCCGATATGACGTCACATTGACAAGTACATTGCGATCAGTGAATTGTTAATATATTGCTGTGAGGGATTTAACCAACGACAAAAATACATGTAATAGTAAGTATTGATGTCGTTTAAAGCTATCGAACAGTTTAAAAAAACAAATCATTTCATTCTGTGGTAATTTGAAGAACTTGTATTTTTGTGTGATGTCATAGTAAGCATTTCCCGTATAAATTAGGCCCCGCCTCCTTATTGTAGCCTTAACTGTGCTGCGTATTCTTTCCGATGTTGTTTTTGAACCAGGAAGTAGTGAGGAGAGTGTTACCGAGTTTTGGACATTCACGTTGGCCTCTGGGTCCCGCAATAATTCATCAAGCTCGTCAACTGGCTCAGTCTGTGATAAAAAGACAGAATTGTTTACCTCAATCATTTTATAGAGATACAGTTTTAGCAATTTGGTGTTTGACAGTATTATCTATTTGTTCATATTTCGAAAAGAATTATTGAACAGTTAAAGTTCATGTAATTATATGTAGAAAATCAAACTAATCTTGAAATATAATTTGACTTGCGCATTTTACTATAAAGGATAAAAAATATTTAAAAACAGAGAGAAAAAAATGATCGAAAAAAGGAAAAAAAATATAGTGAGTGTCATCTTGTACAACAGAAAACAAACCTTATTTTGTACCTTTTGTGGATTTATTTGAGAGAAAGTATACTTCGTCCTAACTCAATATACCTCTCAAATAAACTAAGATTGTTCTAAAAGTTTCTCTTACAAAAATCAAAAGGAAGAAGATAATCATACTGCTTTTTATGCTGCATTCCGTTAATTGTCCCCTGCTTTCACTGAAAGAAGGGGATATTAATTTGGATCTGTCCATCTGCCTGCCCTTCTGTATGTGTGTAAAAGTTTCGTTTCTCAAAAAGACTAAGAGCTTTTGCAATGAAACTTTTCATTATAACTCCCTATGGCCTATGCAAGTCCCATATTTATTTTGAAGTAAAAAGGTCAATAGTCAAGTATTCATGTATTGAAAAAATAGATTCCAGATGATAACTTTAGTTTTCGTAGAGCTTTTTCAATGAAATTTTATATCATAAATCCAGTGACTTAAAAAAACCTATTGGATTTGAGTTCAAAAGGTCAAGGTCAGATAATTACACATTGCAAATATGGTTTCTGGATAATAAAGTTCTCTTTGAGCCTTTTTAGTGAAATTTTATATCTTCTTTCAAAGTGGGGTATATTAATTTTGGTCTGCCAATCCATATATCCTTCTGTCTGTGTCACACTTTCGTTCGCGGATGATATTTCAGAGAGCCTTTGAGATTTTGCAATGAAATTTTATATCATAACTCCCTTTGACTTAAAAACATCCTTATTGATTTCAAGGTCAAAAGTTGAAGGCCAGAAATTCATATATTACAAAAAATGATCTCCTTATCATAAATTTACCGGTAGGTTTTGCAATGAAAATGAAATTCTATGACATTAGTCGATATGACTTACAGAAGACCCCTATTGAATTTGAGGTCAACAGATTTTGACCAAGGTCAGAAAATCATATATTGCATACATATTTTTAATGTAAGCTTTAGTTTTCTATATGCTTTTGCAATGAAGCTTAATGAGTATCCTTTAATTAAGGCAGACCCCTATTCACTTTAAGGCCAGAAGCTGAAAGGTTAAGGTTGTACGTGTTTCTTTCTTCATCGTAATTTTCTTTAGGTCTTCCACTCTTTTTTCCATTAAGCGGGGTACATAAATTCCCTGAATTAAATTGTTCATATTGGATCTCCTTTCAAAGAAAATATATAATTCGTAATTTTCTTCACGAAGCCTTTGCAAAGAAATATATGCCAAAAGTACCTAAACTTCACGCAAAAATGAGCAGCTTTTTTACATTTTAAATTCAAACGAGGCACATTTGGCCCTTTACATACACACAATTTCTTTTTCAACAAAACATATTGTGAATCTACAGTAAGTCATGGTTAAGAGATGGAAAGTTCATTGCTATGCGTTACTTTGATGACTTTTTATCGCCCCACTTCGACTTGAACTACCCTCAGTGTATTCTTTACAGAGTGTGTTGGCATATGGAGTTGACAAATTGTAATAGTATTACTCTTCTGATTATTTTAAAGGTTTTTATTAATACTTCTTTGTGCAACTTCCATCAAAAAAGTTTACTATTATGATTGATAATTATAATTTACTTTACTTCAAACTTTAATACTTGATACTCTAATTTGACTAATATGATGCTTTGAAATAAAACTTTAACTTTGATTAGCATGCAAATTTGATATTTTACAATGATATGTTTATTTAATTTGAATTTAGAATTTGTTTTTCAGAGAATTTATATCTCTCTAGAAATTTTATTTTAATATCAAAGCAATATTTTTTTTTATTTGATAGAAAAGAGAATTGGAATGAAATATATTAATTTGAATTTCATATAAGGAATGCACAGCTTTACTATATTAAGAATCAATTAACTATCATAACTATATTTTCGTCAAATCTTGTCTTAGAGTCCAAACCAGACTTGCATATTTGACTATATGAATATCATACTAGTATATTAGCACCGGGAAATTTTTTACCAACGAACCTAAATTGACAAAAAATATTTTAGTTTTTAAATAAATACATGTATTGCCTTCTTTAGTAGATTGCAAGTAAACATGCACACTTAATTATTATCGTTTTTTTTAAATTATCTCAAATGATTCTTATTTGAATTCGCAAAAACCTATTTTGTTCCAAATTTGGTTAAAATGGTTCAGGAGTTTTGGAGAAGATGATGAAAACATATATACATGCACACATACGTTGGATAAAAAGCGTACTTGAACCTCCGATTCAGATTAGCCAAAAGGTAGAGGGTGTTATATTTATGACCCACTCTGAAAAACCAGTCTTACGAGCGAAGAAAGGACTTCTTAGGGAAAGGAACTTATCAACAATACTCTGGATATTAAACAAAACAATCCAAGCTCAATCTTACCTCAGTGACCTTTTTGAAGTTGAAAACAAGAAAAAAGTTATTAACTTCCCCAAGGTGAAGTTAGTAGTGCGCAATAAAATAAGGGTATGTGTTTCTCAAAGAATCTTTTTTCTACCTCGCTTTACAAGTTATTTTTTGAAATTGTATATTCAAGTAATAGTGTGATTAAATACAATACCACACAAAACATAAATACCTGGTATGGATCATCTCCTGACAAAATAACCAGAGTATTAAAAGCCAGTTGTAAAATATGAAAATAATTTATTGCATTATATCACAGACATATCAATAATTTAACGAGAATACATGTACATTTACAAAACATTGAAAGACAAAATAGATTCTATAGTTATGAGCTTGTACAACTGTTACAGAAGATGATTGCGGTGCCCATACCATTACAACATTAAGTGTAACACATCACACTTAGAAGTTTGGATATCAAATTAAGGTGTAGGATACACACATAAATATGTTGTGCTAACCAAAGAGTTTATATTGTTAGAAAGAAAATATCCTGAAATCATGTTTCATTTATCACATAAAGTAAGGATTATGAAAGAACACTGGTGTAAATGCCTCAACGATGCCTCAAGTTAATAATAATTGATTGTGACGTCACAGAAAAGGTCACGCATGTGCAGAATGTCTCTGTCATAAGATGGCACAGGTAGAGGATTTGTTCTTACTCCGCTGTACACGTTGTTCTTGGTCCTTTAGAAGTCTCATCATCTCCGCATTACCATTCTCTTCGGCATAGTTATAAGGTGTCTGTCCCTCCTGGTTCAAAAACAACATCGGAAAGAATAAATTACCCATGTTACTTAAAGTTCTTAAAGAACCTGCTAGGAAAAATCTAGGAAGTATATTTACCGACTTAAACGCTGAATAGCTTTTGAACCATCAACTTCATCGATGGTCAAAAAAGAAACCTTTCTGATTGATTCAGCAGTAAAAGTAACAATTACAAACTATTGTCGACGTATGATACTTACTTTAAATTACAACAAATTCAATAAAGTGTATACGCCGTTAGTTGGTGATATTGTTGACGTATTATACTTACTTTTTATCATACTAAATGCAATAAAATACATACGTCATTAGTTGGTGATATTGCTGGATCGTAGGACAATAAGATCCGGACGGTGTCCAGTTGATCCCTGGCCACTGACATATGGAGTGGAGTATTTCCAGCCTGTAAACACCGTGATTACAATAAAAATCTTTATAAAGATGTACGCAAATTTAAGTTAAAAAGTTCACTGAAACTTAATGTCGAAATGATATATGTCATCGTTTAAAGAAGTAGTACAAATAGTTGTAGGTGTTACATACTGTAAAAGTACAATACAGATATATAGTGAAAGAATCTAAATATTAAATGCAGATATGTAGTCATTTTAGTAAACAGCACTTCCAAAACTTCACACAATGTAAATAACGTCAATTATACATATCTTATCGATGTTTACTTGTCATTAACTTAATGGTTTAACCTTGATTTTTACCTTCTTTCCAAACTGTTGAGATAAGAATTTTGAAGAACATGCGATAGGTTTAACTTAAATTTCAAGGAATATTTTAAAGACTTAGATGCTATTGTATTTTGTCAATAATGTTTATACAGTATACATAAGAAGACAGAATGTTAAACTCAAAATTCAGCTTCTATATAAAAATATTGTAGAAGCGTATTCTACTTTGTTAAGATGTGTTAAAGAAAAGACATGGGATTAATACATTAGTACTAGGTAATAAAATGAAACTTAGATATTTGTGCCACAAAATTGGCAGAGAATTTCTTTGTAAACTTAGTTAACTTCCAAATTCGTTGTTTTATTTTCAAAAGGCACACCCACGGATATAGTAAATATCACATTCAATAGTGAATTTCATACTGATGCAAAATATAAAATTTGTGAGATAAATAAAGTGTGCATGGTTTATATGTTTTTACAACAACTCTTTTACCTTTAACAGAGATCTGCCTTGCGCTCGCTAATTTCAGAAATATCAATAGAAATTATAGATTTCTTCATAAAGTTAAAACAATCAAGCAAACAAACACAATATATATAACAAAGAACAATCTATGGAATACATGCGGTGTTAGTTTCCTATTAACAGACAGCAGCATGTAGAAGATAAACTCTAAAGCAATTTTAAGCAAAGATGAAAATTCTAAATTCAGCTTTATACCTCGTTGTGTTCTTCATTCTAACACAAGGATACAACGTGTCTTAATTGAATGAAACATTTTTTTATGAAATATAATTAGTCAAGTTCTGGTTTTGAGCTTTATGTTTTCGTTTCTATTCACATGGCAAAATTTGGTACCTTCGTAATTCAAAGAAACAACTTTTCTTAGATCTTTTTATAGATTCAAACATATTTTTTAAAATGATTTCCAGCACTAAATATTTCAGAGGTGAGCAAGTTTGTAGCTTGGAACAAGTATATGTCACAAGACAAAATACTTACATATATACAGGGATGCAAAAACTTTAAGGTAAACTGTCAGTATAGATCAAACATAATAAATGTAAGAAGCAAACTCACGGGCATGGCTTTAACATTTATGTCAGCCCCTTTGTTAAGTATTCGTTGTACCATATTGTTCCTGCTGGCAGGGTTATTTCTCAGTATTGCAACATGTAAAGGAAACAACCCCATCTGCAACACAATATATTCATTATTGAACAAATAGTATTCTTAGCAGTCTTTACATTACAACCATAAAATAATTATAATTAAGGCTTTTCCCTGTTTTACAAAATTTAATATGAAAGATTTTATTCATAAATGATCATATGTTGAGATGTGATCTTGTTAGTTAAAAAGATGTATATTTCTAAATGTCTGAAATATATCATTACATAATCTTATATGGTACATATTTGTCTGAAAAATCTGAAAAAAAATGTCGTAAAAGTGAGAGTGAACGATCAATGGTATGGATGACCTTGACCTATACACTACCGAGTTAGGAACGTTGAGGTTGGCGTCTGGATCACTCAGCAGTTCATCCAGGTCATCTGGATTATCCTCCTCTATAGCGGAAGTGATGGATTCCTGACAAAGAGGAATATATTATACACAACCTTGAACTTTTGACGGAGACTCATTTAAATTGTTCTTGTTTCTTAATCGAGCAAAATGTCCCACTAACTTCAAATATTTGAAACTATACATAAATTAAGAAATAAATTGTTACTAGATCTATATACATTATTTCTATTATTAATATTTCAAATAAGATATTTAAAAAATCTAACTATGTGAATGGATTAATATCAAACATAAGTTATAATGATACCAAAACAAAAGTTAGTTTAAATATATACCTGTCATTATACATTACTGTAATTTACTTATTTTTCGTGGGGTCAAATTTTCGTAGTTTGTGGAAAAACTTGTTGGGATTTGATTTCGTGTGGTGTTGTAATATACATGTATATACATATTTTATGAAGGAAATGTATTCGTGGGTCTCTTTATCACACTAAAACAACAAAAGTAAATCCCCATGAAAAAAGTAATTTTACAGTATTCTGATTATACAACTAAAAGTTTACTATGATTATGCGATCATAATAAAATCAGTGACAAATTCTAATTGGGTCTACATCGAAATATTCCTGGGTTTTCACATCTGCGACCAACATGAAGCAGGTAGAATACTACGCAACTATCAGCAAAATTCATTTAATCATTTTCTCTAGGATACATGTATATTCTGGTTAGTCTGAACATCAAATTAAATGTAAAGCAAACAAATTTTCAAAATCTGGTTAATATAAAATACATGGTGCATGATAAAAAAAATTGTTTCTGAAATAAAATGATTAATAAAGGAAACTAGGATTAGTTGCTACTTCTCACCGCTGCTGGACTCTGAGGTCTTGGATGACTTGGAGGGGGTATAGGCTAAATACAATGGGGAAGAAAAAAATGTTATATCTCACTTGTTTACCCTGGTATGACAAATGTAACTAATATCATATAAATGTTATGGAACATGACGGTATCTCAACACAGTAATTCATCTTGATTCAAATAAACAACACCCGTACGCTTATCACATCTAAACTTCAAAATGTATTTACAATTAAACGTCCATAATAATTACTAATTTAAAAAACATATTACCTCATGATTATAAAGCGTGTCTTACGACTTTAAATTATTATAAAACGTTCATACTACACTGTACTCTAAGATATACATGTATGTACTTTGGTGAGATATCATATGATACGTTGAATCTTCACTATAATACATGAAACTTTTATTACGATACTTCGAATTACTATGAAAAGTTACATGTATCACGAGAAACTTCTTTTGACATTTGGAGTATCATTATTTATCACATTCCAAATTTAGAATGGTAATGTGGAAATAATAATTTAATATATTTTATATTTCATTTTTATTAAATAAAAACTTGGCATTTAAGACTTTGATAAAATAATCTTAATTAAAATATATCAAATGTAAATTCATTGTAAAAAAAAAAAAAAAAAAAAAAAAAAAAAAAAAAAAAAAACTTTTCATTTTACTTTTTTAGATTAGATTTACAATAGTGATAACCTTCATGCTTTTATTTACTAAAGAAAAATCTCCGATATATTAATATTCTAAAGTTAGCTTTAGTTTATAATAATTCTAAACCTATGTTTGCTATAATAAACTAAAGATTAAATTATTTTTTAAAATCTTGTTCTTTCTGAAATATTCCATAGTCAAATGACAATTCATGGACATACTAGCATCGACTTGAATTTCCATTTTATATTTTACGTTTTGATATCTTTCAAAGTACAATGTGTCTTGATACATTTTTAAAGCATATGGAAAAGAATACTAAACAGTGATTCAAAGGGGTAACACAAGTAAAATTAAATGTAATATTTATTCATGAAATTAAGTTGGGTGAAATAGCTATTGTCATTTTGTGCAAATAATAATAGCAAAATCATACAGCATTTAGTTCCGTACCTTCACAACGACAGATATTTCGTGGTTTCGACTAACAACATTAGTATTCAGTTATCTGATAGCGGGTTTCTTTAGCGGGTGTACAATTTGGCATTTTTGAAGAACTTTTTTTTTGTGGGTGGACAAAGAATTCTATGGCGTTGCAGACAGGTGGCATAATTTTGCAATGGACAATTTTGCACTGCTCAACATAAGAATGTTTCAGACACCTCAGATTTGTAAAGAAAAACAAAAACCATAATTCAATATCATAAAAATATGTCAAATTATGATCGAAGTACTTTTGTAGTGGGCCTAATGCAGAATCAAATACCGGTAAGTGTAGGGAGAGTAAGCTCATCTTTCAGATGAGTTTTTAGTTCGCTTGTCAGTTTGAATATACCGATTCAAACAATAATAATTAAAGTTAAACCAAAAGAAATGAATTTAAGATTTATGAACAGACTGATCAAAAAAATGTTCTTGCATTCAATAGTTTTACGCAAGGATGACATTTAGAGATCTTTTGAACGGGATACTACAAAACTGCTAAAATTAGCAAATGTAAGCAACCCGCTAAAAAATCCCGCTATTCGGTATCAGTGATGATGATGAGAAAAATCAGCAATGTTACACATTTAAAAAAATACATCAACAGGCAGGAATCGTCACATTGGTAATGTTAAACTTAATAGTAACAATTCAAAATGCTGAAATAAATAACATTTAAGTGATCTGTTATGTAAAGTGGTGCGGTTTTTGAGAGTTTTAACAAGTGAAGGGCAGAAGTAGCAGAATAAACGAAAATAAATACAATTCTCTGTGTAAAAAAATGTGATAATCTTAATGGAAAATAAAGAAAATAATTCGAAGAAAAAGTGTATCTTAGAAAAAAGACGAGTAGTGATGCCAGAAAACTGATTATGAACTTCTGTAACGTGAATTAAAATTTTGAGACAGGTGAGTACAAGGAAGGCAATAATAAGCTTACTGTGTCTTCCTCAATAGGTGGTGTGTCCTAGAAATATACAATGTTTCTCGTAAACACGTCAATTATGAATCATTCTTGGCGTTAAACAAGGTTAACTTCCATATAGAGATCATTTGAAAGTAGATTGACTAAGATTCTAACAATGGCCTTTGTCTAAAATTCCCATCTTAAGCACAGTGAGTCCAATGGCCTGTTTTACAATTAACATGTACAAAACAATCAAGTACATTGATCGAAGAGTTACAATATAACTTTTATCTGTAACTTATTTTTTTTTTCTGATTGTTCAGATGCTAGTAAGTATTTTTAAGAATTAAGAAGGTTGAATTTTATACAAAAGTTGGTTTAAAACAGAAGGAAATGATATATCAGGTGTCTGTAATTAATTTTTTTAAAATAAAGAGACTTCTTTTTTGTCTCTTTAAGACAATAAAACATTGAGTGTTCAGCATGCATTTATGATATTTACAGGTAAAAACACAACATGGGAGATGACGGATCTACATGTAAACCCAAAATAAAAAAAATACCGAAGCCCATTGTTAGTAACATATGAACAAAAAGGACAATGTTAGGTCACTATCAATTTGACACCTTATCCAAAAAGAAAGTCCAGACAAAGCTTAAAATTAGTTGTTGCATGCACAAAACAATAATTTCTATTAAATTTTTATGGACGGGCATGCAACAAACCTCATGGTCGGGTTCAATATTCCGATTTTGTTCTGGCGATGGAGATGGAGTTGGTCGCAGACCTCTATTAGGGGAAGCTCTTGGCAGTGTGGAAGAGTCAGACGACGTCGGAGACTACACGTATTATAATAAAACCATCAGGTAAGGGATTTAATTGTATAATCACACTCAATGTACCAAAATAGTTATATTGAAAAAGCGCACATATTAATCTCTTTAATTTGATTAACAGCTAACTAAATTTGGTTTATGCACACATTTAAGTCTTTACAAATTAGTTTTTGCATGCAAGCGTTATGAATCTCCGTTCTAGTGTTAGGAATCCGCATGCAACAAACCTCGTGATTTCGTTCGGGACCTCGGTTTCTTCTGGGCGTTGGCGATGGTCTCAGAGCTCTAGAGGGTGAGAGAGGCGGCAGTGTGGAGGATTCGGACGGCGTAGGAGACTAGATATACAGGAACAAGACCGTGAGTCTAAGAGGGAGTTTTCTCTGATATTTCTATTTTCTACAATTTATTGGTTTTTGGCAGTTTAAGGAGTTTAAACTTTTTTGAAACAATATATTACAGTGTCAATCCAATTTGCGTTTTAGTTTTGAGATTATTGTTATAAATGATATGTGATTATAGAGCAATAAATAAAAGACACAATTTCAAATTACAAATCTTTGAGTTACATGAAGAATTAAGATATCCTCAAATATTCAGTTTTCAAATGGTATGTGATACCTTCGAATTCACCTCAATCTAATTTGATATCAGGTCATTGTTTACAAAAATAATTAAATTTTCAGTGTGCCTTTCTTGTCTTCCATCAGCAAAAAAAGTATATACAAATGAATCAGAAATATTGATTGAAAACATTCTGAAATTGATAGCAAAAATAAAACATTGGGTTTAAAATAAAATAAATATAATGAGGGGAAGAGAGACATTTTTTTAAGGTTTCTTGCCATTCGAAAATGGATTACATTTCTCAATGGATGCATGCAATAAAGGGAATACATTTTAAATATGAAACAATGATTAGGTTAAAATATATACTGGGTAATTGAAAAGTTATACCTTTGACGTTTGACCAGTTTGGGGATTGGGTGACCTCGGCTTTAAACGGGCTGATGTCCTTAAATCCGAACGTACAGCAATTGGGGAAGGCTTCCAGGGGATAGATGATCAAATTGCATCAATTTTTAGGGAAAAGTGTCTAATTTTTGTGTTAATTTGGAAATGCCCAAGTTGGAAGAACATTATAATTTGCATCAGCAGATAAAACTCATATGGTTAATGACATTATCCAATGTCAGTTACTAATATCGTAACCAACAAAATTTTAGTTTGCATATTTCACAGAAAATACATCAAAAAAAATATTGATTTCCCTCTCTCAAAATCGACCTAATATCATCTCTTTTCCTAATCGAAAGATTTAATTTAAATATTAGCCACGCCCACTGGCACCCTGACAACCAATTAAAGAAGCTTTAAAGTCAAGATTACTAGATGCGACTCCATTATGAATATATTAACACAGAATATAAGAACTGATTTTATTGGAAAATTAATGCATTATGATTTTCTCACAAAATTAATTGAAGTCACTGTTGGGTATCAATTTGTATGATACAAGATGTTTGATATGAAAATGAGAAATGAATGATATATGTCAGAAAGAAACCGCCAATATGTGAAAAGCATATGTATAAAAAGTTTTGGTATACCGTACCTGGCGAGGGGGCGCTGCAATAATTGGAGGGGGAGGCTAAAAACCACAAACATACAAGATCATTCACATGACATAATCTAGCAAAAACTAGACAAACAAAATATGATTTACAAGGAATTAAGGACCACTCGTTCAAAGTTCCTATGATTTTCCAAAAGAAATCTGATTTATGACTAAGATTTTACAAAATTTCCGAATACTTTGCATGGCAAAAATTTGAAAAATTCACTTTGTCAATACATTTATTTCGGAAACAATTAATATTCTCTCTCTTATCAGATTCCTGGGCTCAAAGAAACTTAAACGTAAATCTTATGTACTTTTTGTTCCTTTTTACAATATAATAACCACAGGTATTGAACAATTAAAATATATTCAACAGTCAAGAGTGAATAGGTAATCAATGTTCTAAAAACAATAATAGCCAGATCAACACACAATATACTACAATGTACATATACTTTGTCTTAACTAGCACTTTGCACATAATATCTAGATACATACTGTAATTCTAGCTGTTTTCTGTCTTTTGAGTAACTTGACAACATCCAGGTAGTTTCTACTCTCCGCTAATGCCAGAGCATCATTACCATCCTATAAGAAGACGGATTCATTATTATCTGATTCTAACAGACAATCATTCTTGAAAATTTACTCTCAGACAATGCAAACTGCATTAGTTTATGGACAGCATGTCGATTGCTTGACCAATTAAGAAAACATTAATTATAATAAAAAACCAAAACACAAAAACAATTTCACTCATTGTGTTTACGGAGAAAAATTAAACATGCATTGATTTGTTTTTATGAATTTCTGGATATATTGATGAAAAAAGTTCTAAAAATATCACAAACCAGATCTTTGTGAGTTGGATCCGCTCCCCATTTTAATAGTTGATCCACCACGTTATACATTTGATTATCTTGTCTGAGACTAGGTCTCTTTATTGCCAGATTTAAGGCTGTATCCCCTTCCTTTACAAAGCATATAAAATAAAATTTACCTGTTTTTTTGTATCAAACATTGCAGAAAATGCATGAAATTTCTTGAAAAATCAATGGTTTCCTAACATATACAGAAGAGGATGTAATCAAATTTTTGTCTAGGAATATCCGTTGTATTCTAGGGACAGATACAAAATACTTTAAAGTTTACACTTAAAGTGGTCTATCTCACATTTTTCACATATAAAAATTTATTTGGATGGAAAGAAATATATTTATACATGTATATTTCAAAAGAATCATAGTGAAATACATTTTCCTTTTGACTAAATAGTGTAATGAGATAATGAAGTTCTCTTACGTAATCCCTGAGATTGACATCTGCCTCTGCGTCTACCATTCGACTGAGCAGGTTTAAAGGGGGATGTTGGTAAAGATTGGTGAACATGTAGTGTATAGCGCCAGCGCCATGCTACAGGAAACAAAGCAAACACGGAATTTGCTAATGCATTGTCATATCGGCATATGTTGTGTTAAAAGAAAACAAAGATGACGGTAATTGATTTTCTGTTTGTATTTCTATTGTGATCCGAATAAATAAATCCATTTAAGCATAAGATGACGGTAATTAAGTTTCTGTTTGCATTTCTATTGTGACCCGAATAAATAAATCCATTTAAGCATATGCCTTATTCAGACAGTCATAATCTGCCCCCTGATCAACACAATCTAGTGCCCCTTAAGCATATTTATGTAGGTTCTTACATTATTCAGACAGTTAAAATCTGCCCCGTGATTAACACAATCTAGTTACAATCTGCCCCCTGATTAACACAATTTAGTTACAATCTGTCCCCTGATTTACACAATCTAGTTACAATCTGCCCCCTGATTTACACAGTCTAGTTACAATTTGCCCCCTGATGAACACAATCTAGTTACAATCTGTCCCCTGATTTACACAATCTAGTTACAATCTGTCCCCTGATTAACACAATCTAGTTACAATTTGACCCCTGATTAACGCAATCTAGTTACAATTTGACCCCTGATTAACGCAATCTAGTTACAATCTGTCCCCTGATTTACACAATCTAGTTACAATCTGTCCCCTGATTAACAAAATCTAGTTACAATTTGACCCCTGATTAACGCAATCTAGTTACAATCTGACCCCTGATTAACACAATCTAGTTACAATCTGTCCCCTGATTTACACAATCTAGTTACAATCTGTCCCCTGATTAACACAATCTAGTTACAATTTGACCCCTGATTAACGCAATCTAGTTACAATCTGTCCCCTGATTAACACAATCTAGTTACAATTTGATCCCTGATTAACGCAATCTAGTAACAATTTGACCCCTGATTAACGCAATCTAGTTACAATTTGACCTCTGATTAACACAATCTAGTTACAATCTGTCCCCTGATTTACACAATCCAGTTACAATCTGTCCCCTGATTAACACAATCTAGTTACAATTTGACCCCTGATTAACGCAATCTAGTTACAATCTGCCCCCTGATTAACACAATCTAGTTACAATCTGTCCCCTGATTAACACAATCTAGTTACAATCTGCCCCCTGATTAACACAATCTAGTTACAATCTGTCCCCTGATTTACACAATCTAGTTACAATCTGTCCCCTGATTAACACAATCTAGTTACAATTTGACCCCTGATTAACGCAATCTAGTTACAATTTGACCCCTGATTAACGCAATCTAGTGCTCCCTTAAGTAAATTTATACAAGATCTTACCTTATTCAGACTGTTAAAATCTGCCCCTTGTTTAACACAATCCAGTGTCCCCTTAGTAAATACATGTCAGCTCTTACCTTATTCAGACAGTTACGATCTGCCCCCTGTTTAATACAATCTAAGGCCCCCTTAAGTACTTACCTTATTCAGGCAGTTACAATCTGCCCCCTGATTAACACAGTCTAAAGCTTCTTTTTCATTATTGTTCATTACAGCATCAATGAGTCGCCCCTGAAAAGTCAAAATTCAAATCTTCCATATCAACAGTAGTCTAAAATGTTCATCTTGATTTACATGTACTGTCATTACCTATGATATAAGTCATACATTTATTAGGCTTTGGGGAGTTACATTTATCTAGGGACATGGAATGTAGTATCACATTTGTTCCTGTTAACATCAACATTTGTCAGAACTAATACATGTACGAGTATATCACTTTATTGTACAATGTTTATTGCGTGATTTTTTATAAGTTTTATAACTGACAATAAGATATATTTTACGAATTTGCTTTATTCTATAACTACAAAACAAACAGCATCCAGAAAGTTTTTTAATGCATTCCATGTATAAGCAGATCTTTATCTTATCGATGCACCTTTGAAAAAAGAAAACTCGTACCGAGTGTTTTAAAGAATCCATGTATTTTATTGTAGAATAGGTCTAAGTAAAAAATGCATGGTGAAAGTGGGATTTAAACACTGACAATGTAAACAAAAAGCTTTCGATTAAATAAAAAAATATTTCTGGGCAATACCTTTGGATTTCCTAAAAAAAATACTATTAAAAAAAACTTATCATTTGCTGAGAAAATACTCCTTTCACTCACCCCGTATAATTCTCCGAGAGACTTTGTGTAGTATTCTCGGGCTTCCTCGGCAGTCATTGAACCATCTAATACATTAGCCAACTCAAAATATTCCTGCGCCATAGCCACATCATATGGCGTTCGTAAGTTCTGTTTGAAATAGAGAAATAACATTAAGCAAAAAAGTTTTTTTTATATGAACGAAAGTATAGTATATATTAGTCTGTTGATTACACTTGCAGTGTTCTCGAATTTACTCTGGTATTTTTTTTAACCTTGTTTCGTATATCAAGATCTGGGTTGTGCTCTAGAATCATCAGACAGGTCTGAAAGGCCAACCGAAGGACAGCGTGTTTAATGACTAAATGAAGGACTGTGTCCTCATCTGTAGTTGTCGTGGCATTGACGTCACTTCCTATTTTAAGTAGAGCACTGATAATGGACTCCATGTCTTCTCTTCCGCTTAATGCGACAATATGTAGAGGCTTCTGACCATCCTGTGTATGGAATAAATATTACATCAAATACTGGCCGACAGAATGACCATCTCGATTATACAAGAAAAGTGTGTTCTTTCTTGTTTTACAAGATGGAAGTAAAACATTTCAAAGCATCACGCAATTAAACAGGCAAGTCAAATGTCACTGAAATGTCTGAACAGTTTTGTGACATTGATACATATTGTATTCTGTAATTAACTGTATGTTAGCCTAATTTTGTAGAGATCTATAAAACGTCTATAAGTTGTACATCGATCCATGTTTGTCAATAAGCAAACTATTCTGATAAAAGTTGTAGTTGGCTATCTGAAAACAAGTAACTAGAGCCAACGTATGCTCTAATGCAAATGAATATGGTATATTTCATGGTTTGACAGTAGTGTTTGACAAGAATTAATGAATGGAGCCACCAAAACTGCAAATTGCCGAAGAATCGAGTGAAACCGAGTCTCGCGAAAGGATAAATTTCCAATTTAAAAAAATACATTTTTAATATCCACAAAGAAAATTCCAAATTTGATTGAATAGTGAAATAGAGAATATTGAAAAGATGAGTGTTGAATATTAAGTTAATTGATTAAAATATTTAGAAAAGTGTAATTTGCTCGAGATGAAAATATAACTCCAATGTATGCCACAGCTATATCACCAATTTGGTAATCGATTCTTTTCCCAAGTCAAAGGGATTTTAGAAGCACCAAAGAGTGCTGTGACAGCTCTGAAATTTTATATGAATTAGGAGACTGACCTTGACCTCCATGTTGGCATTACCGCCCACCAGTCTGATCAGTTCCTCTACCTGCCCCTCCCTGCAAGCTTTGTAGATCTCCCTCTGTAAAAAGAAAACAGTATCAGAATTACTATAGTTACTCATTACCAGAAATTCAATATTTGAGTGAAATTCGTGTGATAGATGGGCGTTATTGTACATGTGCATGTATTTGTATGTTTCAGTATCTGCCGATCAAGTAGATCGAGGTTACGGGGAATCTGTCATTTCATCGATGTCCATCGATAGCTTAATATTGACACCCTCTGTCAGGAACGGGTCCTTTGTGAATTAAAAAAAAATTGTCTAGTCTATATCCCAGATTTACATTTAGCTTAAGTTGTCGTCCTTTATCTAAATTAGCAATAAATGTGTTTAAACACACGATTAATTCTTTGTAATATATTGTAAATTTAGGTGTTATTCGAAACAAACGTACATTATTTTAGAAAAATGTTTTGAAGGCATTTTTTCATTCAAGTTGCGACGAACAATAAAACATTTATCTGATAAAAATATGTGATAAAAATACACGATTCTGCGATTTCGACAAGGACCGGGGCAATTACATATATTCAAAATGTGTCTTGGGGTTTTACATTTGTGGGGATAAATCAATTACATTACGTGTTAGACAAAATAGATATAATATACCACTTATAGGTAAAGATTAAAAGGCACTAAAGGCTAGAGGTAAATCAATTTCAAAGAAGGAAACTACAGTCCCGTGAGAGACGAAGTATTGTAACAGCTCGTTTTAATCTATTTCTGATTGCTGGTGTCGATTTCAAATTAATTGGCGATGTAAATTATTCATGTTAAAGAGAGAAACACGCGTTCTTAAACCTTGAAGTGAACAACTTTTTCCCCTTCAGAATTGCATCAGAAACCTCTGTCTGTTGCATTTATTTGTACTTGAAGATAATCAAGTCCTGAAAAAAACTAATTAAAGAATCACCACAGGTTAAGATAGAATGCAACAAAAGGAAAATAAAACACGCCCTGACGTCGACAGAACTATAGTTACCGATATTGCAAAACAAAAAAGACAGTTCTTTATGTTTATTATACGTGCTAAGGAATGTTTTCGAAAGTCGAATTCTCTCATTAAAATATTTGTTCAGGTTTCAAGTAGCACGCCGTGCTGATTTCTTAACTACTAGTAAGTATTCCACACATTGAGACCTAAAATTTAAAGGTCTAAAGTTAAAACTTTGTTGAAACAAGGCCGGTTAAATTTACTGCCAATTTAAAAGTTTAGAAGGTTAATCTAACATATTTAGGACAATGTTTTAATTCAAGACATGGGCGACATGCATTTTATATTCAAAACTATTGTACCAACACAACCTAAGCTAAATGAACGTTTTTCTTTCTTTCAATAAATAACAAATTAACAATTTTTAATTAGTGAGAGAATAATTGAACCACTTACGTAATTTTTAAGGCGATTAGGTCTGCCAGTGGGACCTCCAAATAAATCTCCCTGTCATTTTTGATTTACTTGCTTATTAAAGGTAAACGAAACTCTCAGCAAAATCAAACTAAACACTTCATTTTACGTGTTTTAAAAGGTTATGAGATGAATATAAATGTATTAAGAACATGCATACCAAATAGAAAAAAAATATTTGTATTCAAACAAACTTGATTATTTCTGTTCTAGTCACGCTTTTTGTGGGTCGGTGGAGGGAGATAGGAGGGGGGGGGGGTCTTTGATCTTTTTGGATAAATCTGTTTATACAGTTGTATCTGATCTATTTGGATAAATCTGTTTATACAGATGCATCTCATTTAATTTTGAATACGACACTAACCAATCACCAAAAAGAGTATAAAATCGATACCAACATTGACACACAAATACAGGTGTTCATAAATAACAATATTGAGGGGATTGTATTATTTTTAAATTAAAAAAAATAAAATTTGAATTAAAAGTCTAGTGTTTAAGATTATGTCTCCCTGTTCTTTCTTACCTTTGTGTCGTCCAAGTTATCCCGATTCCCTCTCAGCATCGCCATTCTCCTAGGCTTTTGTTTCAGTGAATATAAATAAACTAATTACAATATTGATTATGTTTTCCTCGGCTCAAGTTCCTCAGATTTTTCTTGGCCTTCATCTCACTTCTCATGAGACCCGGAAACGTTTACGTCATATCGCACGCGATCACGACAGCAGACGATTCCCAAACATGGAGACAGAAATTGGTCTCGAAAACAATCCAGAAAAAATTACAATCACTCGAGAATACATTCAGAAAAAAATATCATGAAAAATTTCGATAACATATATCCTGGGACATTGATAGAGTGTTTCTTAGTAAGGTATGGACGGATTAAGTTTTAGCTGTGATAAACAGGTATTTAAATGTCTGATTTTATCGTCCTGTGTACCTGTATAGAATTTGATAAGACCGGCCATTTAGATTGGATACAAGCAGATACATTTAAAACACTGGTTTAAGTGGTGCTGGGTGGACTTTTAAATGAACCACAGGCCAGGCTAATATGTCAGTACAGTATGTTTTCGTTTTTTTTTAAATCCATTTTCATTTTCACTTTCTTGTATTTTTCGGTAAGAAAAATACATGTACCGAGAAATAATCATTTCCTGGCATAAATGCGGCTGATTTTGTGTTATGGCATAAAACATGTCAAAAATATTAATTCAATGTTTATATTGAAATTATCAGATAAAATTTCTTTTTGGATTAAGTTTAACTTTTAAAATAAAACTTAAAAGCCTAACTGGATTGCATGTATACCGTATAGAACTTCCTGGAATAATGTTAATCGGAGTCTCCTTTACTCACTGTATACTACAATTGAATATATAGTGTAAGTAATAATTCTTTAAACGAAAGTGTTTTATATCCTTTTTCATTCAAGCATTCAAAAACAAATTAATAAAAATACAAACAGAATAGGGATGATCACGCAAAAGAACAAGAAAAAAATATTATTAATATATTCAACCTTCTTAAACTCCTGATTCGGTTTCTGTCTTATTTAAAAATTGTATGCTAAAGGTTTTCTGAACAATTTATTAATTGTTATAAGGGAAAAATATCAAATGTAAACAACAGATGACACCCATGAATTTTAATGCAATGCTTCAATCTACGTTTTCCAATTTTCTCCTTTTATAAATGAAAATTTTCATACATCTTTACAATAGATTTTCGTCTTTCAGAAATGGTGTGATTGCAATTCTACCACAAGATTCACTTCACCTTTGTATAGTAGTCGTCTTTAAAGTAGTCCCTACATACCTTAAGTAGGCATAGAAATTTCAGCAAACTAATTCCACGTTCAATATATTGGTAAGTTAGTGTATATTTTCAAGATGAGAGAAAGTAAAAAGCTGAGGTTGGAAAAGTATCATAATGATATTATTCATCCTGATATTGACATTTTAAATAAAACTTTACCATTTATCCTTTTTACAAGACTCTTGTAATGTAGACGGCTGCAGATTTGGAGAAATTCTGTATAATTTATTCATCAATTAATGATCACGTGACCGATATACTAATAGACCGTTTCACGATATGATACTAGTATATTTTGGTGAAATAGGTTGTAAAATCAAATTCAATATTCGTCATTTAATTATCTATCAAGAAAAATTCTACCGCCATGAAACGTAATTAATTTTCCCTGCTAAAGAACAGTACCGCAGTTATCGTGAAAGTTATCGTCCCCGAATTAGGGAAGAAAACACGCGATGAGAGGTCATGGCCTTGGCTGGGTACTTGAGCAGTGTTAGTAATTTCAATACTGTGTGTAGGTAACCATTAAATACTAACATGCACCAGGCCCTTGAGACGCGTGGGGGGTGGGGTGAAGGTGTGTGTGTCAGAAATATTTCATTAAAAAGCATAAAAATTAAAACAATCCATGCGTAATATCTGTCCTTGTCATAAAAAAAAGAGAATCTGAACATTTTTGAGAGAAAAAAATAACAAAACGAAATTAATGAAAAATCATTTCATTCAAGACGTTCTAGACAGGCTGTGCCGTAACAACATTGTCTCTATGTATAACCTCGTCATAAGATGGCGGTTGGGTTGTGATCACTGCTGGTGGACTGTTCTCTTCATTGTCTGACCTTTTTCGGATCTCTGATTTCTGATCTTTAGCGGTACGTTTCTTGTTTGTAGTAGAAAGTGGTGGATGCGCCGGATTTACGCCATTGGCGGCACAAGGAGGGCTCCCAGAATTCGACTGTACTTGAACTTCAATCTGACGTCTTCGATCCAGTTCGTATCTCCTATGGGGTCTTCGGTGTCCTTCACTGACACCGTCCGCAACCAAGAAACAAATACACCAATTACACCCTTATAAGAAGAATTAAATAGCGTTTGTCAATGTTATTTTGTAACAGCTAAGGTCAATATTGATGATTTAAAATTATAGCATACAATGTAATCCTCTATTAATTAAAAAAAATTTAGAAACTTTGAATGGAAAACTACCCCTTTCCTGTGTACACTGACATCTGAAATGGCGAATAATTTCGGTAAGGTATTATTGTTTTATGCCGATGTTCAGCAGCTTCTAATTTCTTGAGAGGATAAGTGGTTGGCCTTAAGTTAAGTGAAAGCTTAATAGTAAGATTTTACCCAGATCTGAATTGTTGCTTTAGATGTTAATTAAAAAAAACCCAAAACATTTCCCTGTTTAAATTCAGATTATTTATCAATCTGTTAAGTTATTGAACAGTTCTTCAATACAATATGTAAGATAAAAAAATAATTACCTGTTGTCTCATTTGGTATAGAATTTGTTTCGTATGTGGAAGGTTCTAAATTCGACAACGGTGTGTTATCAAAAAAAGTTTCTTTAAAAAGCGCGCGACTAAACCTCTTACCATGTCCAGGTGAATTGTCTCCACAGCATCCGTCATTGCCTCCGCAACATTCGTAACAGGCATGTAGGCAGTGACAGCAACTGCAACCAAAGCAGTCGGAGTCACCACATTCGCAACAATCACAGTCACCACATTCACAACAATCCTCACCACATTCACAACAATCACAGTCACCACATTCACAACAATCCTCACCACAATCACAGTCACCACAATCACCGTCAGACATGGCTACATGAAAGTGAAGTACACAATGAAGACGTTCCTTGATATTAGCACAGACTCAAAACTGCAATGAAGAGCCAAAAACCATATTTATATACGCTCTCTATATAGATATCGTTCAGTGATTGGACAATTTTTATGACGGTATATTTCCTTCTTCCTTAGTAATTTAAGGATTTTAGTTCCAATCTGTTTACAGAACAGCCTCAAGGAAGAAACTACTCAGTAACACCAACATTTACATTCAAGAGAACTTATATTTATCAGTATAAAGTGTTTTCCCAATATTTTTCTTCATATTTCGTTGCATACCTGATACAATGGAGAATATCAGTTAATGTAATCAGTCTACCTGAGTTAAGATTAACAATCTCCACCCGTAAGCATTTATATTCCTTATTTGTTTTAAGGTAAGACTTGCGACCCATTAAAATTGTACACATGTCATGCATTAATTTGTTTGAGAAGACTAGCTTTATCATTTACTATGATTTTAAAAGATATTGCCGGTACCTCCTTTTTTGTTTTTATACCCCCGTATCGAAGATTCGGGGGTATATAGTTTTTTCCTTGTCCGTCCGTCTGTCTGTCTGTCTGTCTGTTTGACCGCAAAAACTTTAACCTTGCCCATACCTTTGATTGGTTGGAACTATGGCTTTCGTATTTCACATGTGTATTCCTTGTGACAAGATCTTTCTTTGGGTACAACCATATTTGACATTTTGACCTTGAACTTGGAGTTTGACCCAGTTTTGCAAAATTTTACCAAACTTTAACCTTGGCCATAACTTTTGAACGGTTGGTGCTAGGGCTTTCATACTTCATAATCATGTGTAATCCTTGTGACAAGACCTTCCTTTAGATATCAACAACTTTGACCCTTTGACCTTGACCTTGGAGTTTGACCTAATTTTGAAAAACTTTAAGCATGGCCATAACTTTTAAAGGGTTGGTGCTAGGACTTTCATCATTCACATGAGTAATCTTTGTGACAAAACCTTCCTTTGGATACCAAAAACTTTAATTTTTGACCTTGACTTTGGATTTTGACCTACTTATGGAAAACCTTAACCTTGGTCATAACTTTTAAACGATTGGAACTTCGGATTTCATATTTCACCTGCGTATTTCTTGTGAGAAGGCCTTTCCTTGGGCACCATTAATTTTGACCATTTGACCTTGACGTTTGACATACTTTTAAAACACTTAAATCTTTTCCATTTCTCTTCAATGGTTGCTGCTAGGGCTTTCATATTTCACAGGTTTATTCCTCAAGACAAGACCTTACTCTGGGTACCAACATATTTGATTTGCATTTGAGAAAGTTAAACCTTTGCTATAAGTTGCCATACGGGGGCATCAGTGTTTCACAAACACATCTTGTTTGTTTGTTTGTTTTTTGGTTTAAGAGACTAATTTAAGGTATTTGATGTTTTATTTCATTTAACAGTTTAAATGATAAAACAAGATGTTGTTGTGAAACACTGATACCGCCGTATGGCAACTTATAGCGAAGGTTTCTCAAATGCATATCAAATATGTTGGTACCTAAAGTAAGTACAACTTTTTAACCGAACGTGCTTTTGTTACCAAATTAAATTCACATTTTGGAAATGAATATATTGCTACAAAACAAAATCGCAAACATAAGATGATAAAATTTGCAATTTTATTATAGTTTTCCCATTTATGATCGATATTTTCTTTTCTAATGTTTTGTTCCTCCCACTTTTGCGAGATAAACAGTCGGTGTCACTATAGGTTTTCTATCTATAAATTAGGTTTTCACAGAACTTTTTTTTTTTTGGAATTGACCACCATTCCGGATGAAGTGTCTTCCTCTCGTTTTTACCATGTTTTTACCAAAGTCTTCTTCGACCGTAAATTTCAATTTAAAATGCTCTAGATTGCGTTTTTTATTTGGGCCGAGTCATGGCGATAATAGTGTTGAAAATGATTTGCATTTGAGAAGAGCCTACATGGTCTTCAGGAGATAATAAAAGATGTTAGTTTCATGAATTTTGCATGTAATATTTAGCAGCATTTCATTGCTTATAAAACACAAGAGTTTCTCTCATTTGAAATATAGTTTTTTTCTCTTCTGCTCCCTGGAACAGCCCTGATTCAAACCCAAATAAATCTACGGGATCAAACAATGCCGACAACTTACCGGACAATTGCAAATTTAAACTTATGTGGAACACCCGTGCTGGTACTATGCTCCACAGGCACCTGAGTGTGCTTGGTGTAACCCCCCCACCTCCTCCTGAGAATTTTTTAGACACGATAACTTAGTAAATTCCTAGCTTATCGTACCAATACTTAATTTGATATCATTTTCCGTTTTCGTTAAGTTTTAGAGATTGCCCCTTTACGGTATATAAAAATACTAAAGGTAAGAAACAAAATCTTGTAAACACACAGGGTGATCCGCTTCGAGGGAGATTGTTTACGTTAATACAGCAAACCAATGAAATGTATGCAAGTTCAAGCTTGATTCATCAACAAACAGCCAAACACATTTATCAGATACAATAAAAATTTCAAGGAAAATTGAATTCGTTATGAAGTAAATGCAATAAAAAGAAGAGAAAAAAAATCTGTAATTATGTTAGCTTATAGTTTATGTTAATAAAAGTGCCATTTCTATTATTCCAGGCATATATAATTGAAATTTTTCACTCGTTGATGCGAACGAAAGTCAAAATGTTCTTCATATCTTGAATGTACTTATCTCAAAAATAATATATATCATATAATTAGTTTATAACTGGAATGCATCATCCATAGCAAAATTTCTATTTTGCATGGATTTCTCGTAGACTTCTACTTAAAACTAAATTCATTTCTAAGGAATGACACAGGATACGAATGCGAATTTAAAAGAGCATTTATAAAATACAAGAAAAGTGGAACATTTTCAAATATTTTTTAAAGACAGGTCTACAGTACATGCTCGTACATGCTAATACAGAGAACATACATAATCATGTACAATCTATATTCCTCTAGGCGGTTACTAAACACATACATAAGGAAATAGTAGAATAAAAGATGCAACGTTCAAACTCTGACGCAGATGATGTACATTCAATATATGTACACATATACTGTCGTTATTACCTAATTTATGAACGTTCGGCCAACCTCGGATGATTCCAACATCATGGGCTACAAATCGGCCGAGATGTGCAAAAAGAGGTTTGTCTGTCGAAATGATAGAACACATATCAGGCAGTTTTATGCCCCCGTGTCGAAGATTCGGGGGTATATAGTTTTTACTCTGTCCGTCCGTCTGTCTATTGTCTGTTGTGACAAGATCTTTATTTGGGTACCATAATATTTGACCTCTTGACCTTGACCTTGGAGTTTGACCCACATTTGCCAAATTTTATGACACTTTTACCTTGGTCATACCTTTTGAACAGTTGGTGATTGGGCTTTCACATGTGTATTCCTTATGATAAGACCTTCCTTTAGATACCAACAACTTTGACTTTCATATTCCACATGTGTATTTCTTGTGACAAGATCTTTCTTTGGGTACCATAATATTTGACCCTTTGACCTTGACGTCTGACCTACTTTTGAAAAAAAAACGTTAACCTTGGCTATAACATTTGAACAGTTGGTACTAGGGCTTTCCTGCTTCACATGTGTATTTCTTGTGACAAGGCCTTCCATTGGATACCACCAATATTGACCTTTTGACCTTGACCTAGAAGTTCTTTTGAAAAAACGTTAACCTTGGCTATAACTTTTGAACGATTGGTGTTAGGGCTATCATACTTAACATTTATAATCCCTGTGACAATACCTTTCCTTGGAAACTAACACCTTTGACCTTGACCTAGGAGTTTGTCTTACTTTGGAAAACTTTAACCTTGGCCATAACATTTGAACGATTGGCGCTACGGCTTTCATATTTCACATGTGTATTTCTTGTGAGAAGGCCTTACCTTGGGCACCATTAATTTTGACCATTTGACCTTGGCCTTGATGTTATTTTTGAAAAACTTTAAGCTTTTCCATATCTATTCAATGGTTGCTGCTAGGGCTTTTATATTACACAGGGTTATTCCTCGAGACAAGAACTTACTTTGGGTACCAACATATTTGATTTGCATTTGAGAAAGTTTAACCTTTGCTATTAGTTGCCATACAGGGTCATCAGTGTTTCACAAACACATCTTGTTTTTTCTTTTCATAAAACAGAGGAACTGAACATATCTGAAGACCCCCCCCCTCCCCCGCCCCCTTTTAATAAAATGTTTAATATTGCAAAAGTCGGTTATTCAAAGTATCGTTCTACACAGGTTGTGACGTAACAACAGTGTCTTTATGTATAACCTCGTCATAAGATGGCGGTTGAGCCGTAATTGCTGCTGGTGAAATATTCTCAGTCTCTGATGGTTGTGGCGTCTCTGGTTCCTGATCAACGGTGTGTAGCGTAGAATAAGCTGGATCCGCCGGGTTTACACCATCGGCGGCACTCGGAAGGTTCATTGTGTTTTGTCCTTTAACCTCCATGTGACGTCTGCGTTCCAATTCGTATCTCCTCTGATTTCTTCGTCTTCGGCGATCTTCACTGTCACAACAACTGTCATCTTCCGATACCAGAAAACATATGCACCAGTTACATCCTAAAAAGGAAAAAAAGTGTTCTTTAATATCAGGATATTCCGTTACTGTTATATCTTTATGCATTTTCGATATAAATGATCAGAAGTTAATTATAAATCAAGCCATGTACTATGTTTTTATACTCCATCAAAGAAATGGAAATTTTGACTGGAAACGTACCTCCCCCATGTCTACTGCCGTCAACACTTACATTATCTGAAATGGAGAATGATTTTAATAAGGTTTTATTTCTTAATGGAGCAAAATTAATTGATTTTCAACTCCTTTTTATGCCCCAGTATCGAAGATTCGGGGGTTTATAGTTTTTGCCCCGTCCGTCTGTCTGTCTTTCTGTGTGTTTCTCCGCAAAAACTTTAACCTTGCCCATAACTTTTGATTGGTTGAAGCTATGACTTTCATATTTCACATGTGTATTCCTTGTGACAAGACCTTTCTTTGGGTACCATTATATCTGACCTTTTGACCTTGTAGTTTGACCTACTTTTGCAAAAATTTATGAGACTTTAGCCTTGGCCAAAACTTTTGAACAGTTGGTGCTAGGGCTTTCATACTTCACATGTGTTATCCTTGTGACAAGTCCTTTCTTTAGATACCAACAACTTTGACCCTTTGACCTTGACTTTGGAGTTTGACCTACTTTTGGAAAGCTTTAACCTTGGCCATAACTTTTAAACGGTTGGTGCTAGGGCTTTCATACTTCACATATGTAATCCTTGTTACAAGACCTTCTTTTGGATACAATTGTAATCCATTGACCTTGGCCTTGGAGTTTGACTTTTGAAAAACTTTAACCTTGGTCATAACATTTGAACGATTGGTGCTTCGGCTTTCACATGTCACCTGTGTTTTTCTTGGGAGAAGGCCTTTCCTTTAGCACCATTATTTTGACCATTTGACTTGATCTGATGTTTGACATACTTTTGAAAAAACTTAAACCTTTTCCATAGCGATTCAATAGTTGCTGCCAGGGCTTTCATATTTCAGTTATATTCCTAGAGACAAGACCTTACTTTGGGTACCAACATATGTGATTTGCATTTGAGAAAGTTTAACCTTTGCTATAAGTTGCAATGCGGGGGCATCAGTGTTTCACAAACACATCTTGTTTATTTAGTAATTAGCCTTGAAAACTTGATAGTAAGCGTTTGCCAAAATCTTGAGCATTGTATGATTATGATGTAAATATTGCATAAATCTTTTAAATCGTTTAGTGTCTTCTGTCGAAGTTCAGAACTACTGATATTTTTTCCCTACCTTATTGCATGTAAACAATTCATCAACGCAATATGCAATACAATTGTCTCCATAAAGAATTTGAATATTTAGTATTATCCATGAATATGGAAGGTCTTATGGTCGGTTACATCCAATTCTTATATGAGACTTTAAAAGAAGAGTGACATTATCCTTAAAAATCGTAAAAACAAAATACTCACCGTTACCATGAACATGATCGTCCCCGCAACACGTGCCGTCACTTCCGCAACATCCGTCATCATCGCAACTAAAGCAACCAGAATCACAGCAATCGTCCCCGCAATCACAGTCGCACCCATCCATATCCCCACAGTCAGACATGGCTAACTGAAGTAAGGTTTATAATGAATGTTATAAGAAGGTAGGGAGCTTACTTTATAACAGTTACAATTCTTAATAACTGAATATGCAGACAAAATGACTTCATTGTCTAAACTGCTTATAAAATATCCTGATGTATTTATTACAAAGAAGCACTTGGACCACAGCGCTCACCTTTGTAAGAATAGACTTGTTGTAGGGAAAAGAAATTTTCAGATTTTATTTTTCTAAACATGTACATACCCGATCACCACCTTAACCATAAGGATCGATAATATGAAAAAAGAGCCGATAGGACCTAAAAGGTGGTCTGAATATAAAATACAACCCTGCAAAGAATCCATGGATTGGCAATTTTAATAAATATATGATAACACCAAATAAAATGAGAAATGAAGATACCAGTATGATGTTCAAAAACAAGAGAAATGGGACGATCTAGTGAAAAAAATTTCGGAACAACTCAGAAAAAAAAAAAAATTACCTAATTGTATGTGTCACGGCTTCTGTAAATACAGTACACTCTCCCAATTTAATGAAAGACCAAGAAAAGTCAATGAAATGGGATTTCTTAAAACTATGTTTTATGATTAAACACTAGAGTTCAAATGTACAAATGTAAGGCGTTTTTGTCGCATTTTCATGTCTTTTATTTAGAAGTGTACTTTATTATTGAAAACTATTAAAGTACTTTTTGTATTATACGTTAAAAAATATTGTCTTATTGTATTATTCCATTTATCGTTCAATAATATTATTAAAGGTGAATTGTAAAGGCAAATAATCTTCTAGAGCAGAGTTTAGAATAGAGTCCCGCCCTAAATCCAAAACCCTAAACGAGGGCTGTTGATTTTCATTAGAAGACATGTCAACTGTGCACTTTCTTTGCTAAATTTAAAGAATTTTAGCAAATCGTTTTCTCCATAATTATGCTTGAAGAGGCCTGTCCCATCTCTAGAACCCCTGACCTATGGGCAATAAATTTTACAATTCTGCAAAATAAATCTCTTACTCATCAAAAGCTTGCACTTAATTTGTCTGCTTAGTACCAAGGAGCAGAGAAGAAAATTTTCAAAGATGTAATGCATTTTCACTATATGACCAAAAGAGCCTCTCCTTAACTCCAGTGCCCCTGACCAAGGGGCTATGAATTTCACAATACTGGAAGAGGCACTTACTTATCAAAATTATATGCTTAGTTTGGCGGCTAATTACCAAGGAGTAGAAATGATATTTAAAAAAGTAATGGATGAATTTTCATTATGTGATCAAAAAGATCCACCCCTTACTTCAGAACCACCCAGGGGCCAGAAATTTCTAAATTTTACTTTATATATTTGCTAAAGAGAGGCTCCGGGGCAAGAACTTGGACGAGCTCGATCATTTTTGATTTGAGTCTCACTTTTACGAAAGGGGTCACAAATTTCTCTATTTCGGAACATGCTCATCAACGTTTGGAAATTTTGAAATTTTTAAGTATTAAGATGTTAAACTTATTATTGTTAAAACTTTTTTGTTCATCAAACATGCAAGTGGTTTTTTTTTTTTTTTTTTTTTTTTTTTTTTTTTTTAAATATCTATCATAATGCTGACATTCTTATACCAGATACTTTTCATCTGTCCTTCCCCTTAAATTGCTTCATTCATCCAAATTATCACGATATCCAAGTTGAGTTCTTCCATTATAAGGCACATAAATGTATTTACGTTTCATATCCTTGTCAACTACTTTGAAGAGTCTTATTTTACATATTCTAGAATGTAAAGATTTCTGGAAAAATACCACACTCCAGTCCTTTACGAAAAACTGTAATATTACAGTTTTCTGTACGATTTTATATTACAATTTTTCATAATATACATGTAACTATATTATGAAAAATATTTCGGAATAATATTATGGAAAACTTTAATATAGATAATGTTGTGCAAATATTAAATGAATCCTTACAAATGCTATATTATGAAATATTTTTGCTCCAAACTTCTGTTTTAATTGTTTTTATGGTGCAGGGTAAGAAATAGTCCAAAATTATTGCTTATTAATTTTCACTTTCTTTGACATTGGGATTGGCAGTAATTTTCCTGTATAGTTTCAGGTCGACACAGTGACCTGATACTGGTCTATCACTATCTACCATCGGCTCATACATTCACCTCTGTAGTAGGCTCGCGTATATCACAGTGGTTAGTAAGAGAAATAGTGCATTTGTTTTAATTCATTATAATTAAATATCTGAGCTAATGATAGTCCTTAAAGATAGATATTTACTAAATAGATATAAAACTATCACTTTAATTTGAAATAATCCTTGAAATGTAATGTTTTTTACATTACGTCAAAAATCTTTACGCGAGCCCATTGCAGAGGGTCGCCCGCGTGGCGCAGTGGTTAGAGCGTCTGCTCTAGAGTCGCGAAGTATAAGGAGTTGATCCTTACGTCGCGGGTTCGAATCCCACTGTGGGACGTGGAGACCGGTCCTTCGGATGAGACCGTATAAACCGAGGTCCCGTGTCGCAGTAGGTGCTGGCATGATAAAGATCCCTCACTGCTCAATGGCCGTAAGTGCCGAGCATAGGACAAAAAAAATTTGCAGCTCTCCACCGGCAAGTGGTGGCGTCTCCATATGAGTGAAAAATTCTCGAGAGGGACGTTAAACAACATACAAACAAACAAACATTGCAGAGGTGTCTGAGAGAGGAACGAACGACAACTCTGCATAGGAGATTGCTGGTCTATAGCTATGTCTCCGTCCTTCCTAGTTTTGTACCAAACGTTTTTGGGCCTACGAACTGAACGAAGAATTTAAAACAAAAAGAAAACGAAACATTTAACATGCCTGACTCATTGCACATCTGTTAAAACATAATTTACATTAATGAAATGCTTCACACAATATGTCTTTCCTTTAACAGTTTGATACATTTTTATCGAGGTGGATTAGATGTATAGCTTAATTTACTAAATTATTATCCAATGTATTCACCATAAAAATAAACCAGGTAGTTCTTATAAAATCTACGAACTTTCCGTTAGTAAAAGAGATTTCACAATCATGTTGAGTATACGTATGATTTTAGATCAACACTATATTGATTAAGCACAGATAAATCACTTACTTCTCTTCTTCTGTTAACAGGAAATGGCCCGGAACAAGGCGATCTCAACACGTTACAGTGCACACAAAAGTCTTAGTCAATGAAAAATTACCAAGCTATAATTTATACGTTAGCTCACATAAGGAAAGTATTTGCTAGTCCATTTTCGTTTATTAAGTCGTTTTATTCATTATTTATCAAGGTGAACTATTTATCAAACCTTTCGAAAGTTTAGTAAATAATATATCCTTTCACCACGATTACAAAATATCTGGGCCTCGGACACCTTTCATACGGAAGCTCTGAGGGACATTAAATGTATAGGATTTAAACATATGACCAGTCGAAACACAGCTCTAGGACACAACACAGGAATTTAATGACCAGTTTGTATTGTGATGCATAAAATTTTGGAAATAAAATTCGCCATTTCTTGTAGAGTAAAAATTATTTTACACACTGTCGCGAAGGTAATGCAATATGGACGCAATTCAATATTGAGGACAAGGAAGGAAAATTACTGCAAGAAAATGATTTTGCATTTTGTGCATGTGAGATTAAAACTATAGATAATGTAATTATAATACCAAAGATTTTTAAACAATTTCCTGAGCGGCTCTATTAAAATGCATGCTTCTTGGTGCTATTTACACTGTACTGGGATCAATGGAGAGAGAGAGAGAGAGAAATTTTGTTTAATTCCATAGCTAGTGAATATTGGCTCTGTGGTCTTCCTTCTACAACGTAATATAATATGACATATTATATGTTCTTCCACAATTATCCGCCTGATGCTGTATGTGTCTTTTTGGTCCTAAAATGTTGAATTATGTTGCATACTAGAATTCGACTAAAGAATCCACTAGAGTTTTGAAGACGCAAATCATTTATGAACCAGAAATTGAGCAATGCGTTATAATTAAATTTTATCTAGACTTGTATAATGTCCGTATATGCTGGTCTTTTGAATCTCTTTGTGCTGGTCAACATACCAGGTATCTGTTACAGCATAGCTCTAGATACCTGTTTTATTTTTTTTTCGATCTAAATTAAAATATATACTAATCATACAAAGGGGTAAAAATGTTGCTCAATAAAATTAATGGTGTCAACTGAAACAGAAACTGGCAAAAAAAAAAAAACTGTTTAAAGACCAACACAATTTTCTAAAGGAAAATTAAAACTTCATGGAAATTACGAGGTAGAATTGTTAAAGTATGACAAATACAATGTCAAAAACGGAAGTAAACCAGATAATTCAGAATGATTGCAGAGAGAGAGAGAGAGAGTTAATCAGCGCAAAAAAATCTTATCCAGGTCCAATCAATGGTGTACGGGGATTTACCCCGGGTTTCATTCCATACACCCTGAGGCCAAAGGGTGTATGGAATACAACCCGGGGTAAATCCTCGTACACCCTGGAATGGACCTGGATAAGGAATTTCTTTCCTATGTACCGAAATAAATTCTTTGTAAACAAGTCCAAACAACTGTGTTTCAAGCTATCGATAAGATTTACTACGTCCTACAATGCATCGTGACGTCATGTTATTTGCTTTTTATCATATAGAGAAACTATGCATTGTGACGTAACGTTTTTTACCCCCGGCTTAAGTCGGGTGTACGAAAATTTACACCCGGCCTAGTAACCAATCAAAGCTCGTGTTACAAGCTACATAGGAAATAAAGGTTTTTATTTTGTAATCTATAGGCTGATTATTGTAATCGCTGATAATACAAATACAAGTCGTCAATTTGGTTCTAGTGTCCACAATCCTCAATTTGATTTTAATATAAGCAACAGAGTTTGTATTACACAGTTTTCCCATATGTGTTCGTCTACACTTCATTTATATTTTCAAATAAAACTAGACTGACCAATTCGCAATCTTGAGCGCTGCCTCCATAGTCAAAAGTTGTAAGTTTGCGCCTAAGCTGCGACAAACCGAAGTCGATTAAAAAGGTACAAACTTTACTGTTCCTCTTCCAAAAAACTCGGCACTACTGATGTGAACGATTAAAGGTCTATTGAATAAAGCCCTGAAAATTGGGGGTGAGAATTGGGTGGGGTTCAAGACTGGCGTTGGCATGACACAATGCTAAGAACCCTTACTGATTAATTGCCCTGAGATCTGAGTAAAGGTCTAAAATTAAAGCCTTTTTCTGGCATCTGGTAATGTCTCATAGTGAAACATTAAACAACAAAACAATTAATGGAGGACACGAATTCTGTGTGAAGCAACATTCTGGAAATGGAATAAATCCTGAATCTCATCGTATATAGTTAAACTGGATGTGTATTTCAAACTTCATAGATTAAACAATTAAGGAAAAACAAACAATGAGTTTTTCTTACATTTAAAGAATAGAAAAACATTTTCTGGTAAATTAATAGAACTTACTGGTAAAGTGTAATATGATATGCTAAATGAAATTTTTCAGGTAGACTTGCATTAATTTTTCTTTTATTTTTGCTTTATAACACGAAGGTAACCAAAGAAAAAAAACAACAACGATGCAGCTGTGAATCCAAAACTTTAATCAACGCATGGATGGCTAAATAATGAGTTAACTTTTCATATATTTCAACATTTTATGACTGATAACAAGGAAATATTAATCGCAACTAAAGCATTGAAAGTTTGTAACAAATCTGCGGTAACTTTGTATATATATCTTCCGACAACCCTCATTGTATAAGTAAAGAATTAATACAATGCTTAAATGAGATGCTATTTGATTTTAAGAAAAGATTTCATTAATCTAAAGGAATTGTCCATATTTCTTTTTTATGGTTTATCTTCCTGGAGATTCAAAAGATGCCATAAATTAATAGGACCACCTAATTTAATTTGAAAGAGACATTATTTTTTCTTCCCTTACAATAACAAGGACATTATTGCAACTTTACGAAAACTGGGCCATAAATTCACTTTAAAAACTGTACTAGAGGATGAAAAATTAATTAAAAACAGGAAAAAAAACAGCTTGATTTTAAAATAAAATAACACGAACATAGCTAAAAATTAAAAAAAAAAAATCAACATTTTTAAATACTTTTCAGCATACAATTGATTTGAAATTTATGAGATCGGTTTTTTGAAGGCAAATGTTTTCTATATCAAAACAATTTCAATTATTTCAAAATCAAAGCCAATTACTCTACATTGATAACATCAGTAATATATGTCTTTAACAATTAACAGTGTGCTTTAACAGAAATAAGACTATATAATGTTGAACTTTTTCGTGTTTCTTCTCTTACAACAAATGAGAAGCTGATTTCTGAATTTTGTATCAAAATAACCGTAAATAAAAGGGTTGATAATTTGATTTAGAAACACAAATCGTGAAAAATAAAGCCATGCAAGAGTCTGATCTTCTGAAAGGTTTATGAAATTAAAATCTTCAATTGTGTACACAAGAATCAAAATGACAAGAGGTGGAATGTAAGAAAAGACATAAGCAAGTATTATAACGAAAAACATCCACGTCACTCTTCTCTGCACGGACGCCATTTTTGTGCTTGACTTTTTATTTGCTGTGCTTTTACGATCACCCACGTTTGTTTCAACTCCAATTTCAGAGACATTGTTTGGTGATTTAAGAACAGTTTCTTGGACATTATTTGATGGAATGTCCAATTTTCTCTCGCATTGTATTACTTGTGCACCTTTTGCCTCGTTTGTACTGTCTGTGAAACTATTCTCTGCTTCAGTTGTTTGCGTTGCATATGATGATTCCACAATCCCTTCTCTGTAAGCTTCAGTCGTCTTGGATCTTTGAAGGAAGGAACGTCTAACTCGCTTCAAAACGGGAACATATAAACCTGCTGTTAAAAATAGGTTTACCAGCATGATAAGAGTCAAAAATCCAAAATACAAGGTAATTGTTAGTGACGAGTCAACAGAGAATTTACAAATCTTAATGGTCACATTGTGGTTCATGAAAATTTCTGTTGACTCTAAAACACCAGCTGTCCATAGCAGAGGAGCAGAATAAGCCACAGAAATTCCACACACTACTCCAAAGAAAACTCTTTTCCAAATGAGAGTCATTTTTGGACCGAAAAGTTTACAAACAAGAAGATATCTCTGAATAGAGATAACCAAAAGTATATGAGCTGACGCTCCAGGAACACACGTCTGTAGAAATGAGAGAATTCGACAAGCAGTATCACTCGGGTAATTGAAGAAGAAGGTGTTGTCCATGATATAGAAAGGGGGACTTGTAAAACACGCCACAAGGTCAACGATGGCAAGTAACGGAATAAAATAACGCTCTCCTCTCTCCCTGATGCGAAGAAAGTAGAAAAATATAATGACAGAGTTCCCAGTGATGCCGATCAAAGCACAAAGAACAATGAAAATGGTGCTGCTGAGATAACTATAGAAATATCTTCGTTGTAATAGCTCCTGGTAATCTGTATCGTTATCCATTGCTGAAATACAATGCTCATATATGGATTTAAAGCAAACAATATATTTCTTCCTTGTGGTAAATACTTATAATACATGCTCTGACTTAAAGCTACAATGTCATTTGTTAAAGTTAGGTGTGTAAGTAATTTCAATAAGTTCAATTTCAATAATTTAAATGAACAACTTGCTAATGCTTCTGAAAGACCCTTTACTAGTAGATGGATTCATAGGCATGTATGCAGATCAAGTTTATTTATTTTTTTTTAAATATAAATAAATGTATTTTATACATGTTCTTGTTGACCATGTCTGCTTCTTGTCCAGGTCAAATTTAATCATTCTAATAAATAATTATATTATCTTCAAGAAAAGAATACTTTATATGTTAAAGACGTGTAGTGTATTTAAAGAATAATGTAAGAATTGATTTATTTAAACATTGAACTCCTATAGCTACCAGAGTGCAATGAAACAGTTAATAAAAATATTGTGACGTAGACAACATATACTATACGATATCCAATTAAATAACGCTTTATAACCAGAAGTAAATCATTGTAACAAAGCAATGGAAGTAATGAATTTGGTTTTTTTTAAATTTATTACTTGTAGATTCGATGCAAAAGTAAGGAAGGGAAGTTGTGAATGACAAGCTTGTGCTAATTTATAGGGCTGTGCAATAATATCGATATTGCGATTCATTAACAAAAAATGTATTGCAATACGTTTTTCCAGTACCGATATACCGGCAAACTGCTGGGCTTTAGATTTCTTAATTAAAATATGGAATTTAATATGTCAGAAACGTTTTCATGCATTTGATGCATACATTCATTCATAAATTTCCAATATTTCCCATCTAGTATTGTATACAGCGATATTTTCGCCTGTTTTTTATTCGCCCTCCACATTTGTAAACACTTTTGCGAAGTTTTAAGTTCGACCAAACACATTTATGTTCAAGCAGAAATATGGGGACATCGAAAAGTATTCAAGCTCAAAGTCCATTCAAACAATACAAATCGGGAGCAGAGCAAACACGGACCTCCAAAAGCATAAGAGGAGGGAGACATTTATTTACTATCTTTCTTCAATTCGCCCAGATTTAAAATTGCTTACTTCTGATGAGGGCAAAGGTGCCAAGTATTTCCCATTCAAACATTATACTGGAAACACACATTCAGGATGGAGGTCTGTTATTTAGATAATTAAGGATTATTCTCATTAAAAATTTCCAGTTCGAACAATTTGAAAATGGACTTTATAACTGAATCTTTCCTGTGCATTGTAAAAAAGTTTGCATCTGGTATGCACATATTGAAGACCTTATTTTCGTTCCAAACCTCTCTGAATTTACATCGTCATTTCTTTCATCACTAGTCACTTTGAATTAATTTAAGTATGTCGCCAAGGCTCGGGAAAAGAAAACACAAATAACTGCATTAAAACCATATCCACCCACAAATAATGGGGGATTCTTTCTATAAAGTTTTACACAAAGTTATATTCTACACTGTTTAAATAAGTGAATTCGCTTCATTTAAATTAATTAATCACATTCACATAAATACCATTGTGACGTCACCCCTTTAGGAAAACGATATACGCTGCACATATTTAGAATGGAGTAAATGTGGAAAATGGCACGTATGATTTCCTTGGTGATGATAATCTGGACGACCTTTAAAAGTATTTAGTGTAAATAAAAATCAATCCAATTAAGAACATGTTACTAAGCTGGTTAGGAAGAAAACTGAAACATATTATATCATCTTCCTCCATATATTATATAATGCAATGCTTTAACGTTTATCAAACATCAATCAATAATGTCTTAATTCTAAATACCTTGGAAGTATTTAAGTGGAATTAAAATTATTTTTTTCATTCTTTCGTTCTGTTTGATGAAGGGTAAGTTTCCATGTAAATGTAATTTATGTATTTATAACCAAAATGTACTTACGAAGGTTGTTATTTTGTTTTTAAAACACAATAACAATCTCTTACGTGAATGTAAAATCATAACTCATTAAAATTAAAATCTTCGTTCCGTTTTCAAATATTATAAGCAGCTTCAATGCAATATTCATGAGACAGATCAACGAAAAAGGAAGCAGATTCGTCTGAAAATTCATTTAAAAATTCTCTTAATCAAAACATACTTATGTTGAGGGCAAGGAATAAAATCAAAATTGGTTTTGAAAGTTTAATTAAAAAAATAATTGTGCAGGCACGATGAAATTTATCTTTTTACAGTAATCTGGAGAGAAAAAATGACGAGTAATTCAATTTATCCGGAGTCTGTTGTGACAAACTTTCATCGGTGTGACGAAGCCCAGTCTATTGATTCACTCCAGTCTATAAATTCCATTTCTCAACAATCAGTTCGAAGCATTCGGGAGGTTGTTTTGCAGAAGGGCAGCAACTATTCCTCTTCAAGAAGAATAGCAAAACACTGGAAAATGATCTTAATTATTTTGATACCTGTATTATCTCTGATGTCTATTGCCACAAGCAGTCTTTTGAAAGCAGCAAAGGTTAAAGAAGCTTCAATGGATTCCATTCACAAGGTGGAAATTGCACATTTGTATGCAACTTTGATCAAAATGCTACAGAGAGAGAGGGGAATTTCCTCGACATATTTAAGCACCCCTGGCGACAAGAATTTACTGTTGGGTACCATGCAGAATGCAAGAAAGAGCACAGATCTAGCCTTTGCCAAAATCCCTTTAAATCATCATGCCATTTACATAAACGGGAGTCCATACGCAATTCTGGAAGTTTATGAAAAAGTTCATTTATCACGGGAGAAGATTGAAAATGGATCAGTCTCTGTTGAAGATCATCTCCATTTCTACACCAAGATCACTAATGCATTCATGAGCGTCATGTTTGATGGCGTTAATATTCCAGGGGAGTACGATTGCGTTCTAGACATTGTGGCTTTTTCATCACTTGTAAAATGGACAGATGTAATTGGTCTCTTGCGTGCTAGAATAGCATTCCAGTACGCAACTTGTGACTTTACATCAGAGTCATTGCAGAATTATATGTTCCTGACTGGCGAAGCCATGGGTTATAAAAATATTTTCACACATTATAGTCCTGAAATAAAATCTGCTTTTTCCACTACATATCAGAGCACAGAAGATTATCTCGAGAAAGTCAGAAGATCGGCTTGGTCTGAATCATTTCTGAACTCGTGTAAAACAAAACCGAAAGAAGATCGTTTATCCGTAGGTTTAACATATTTTCAAAATATGACACAATTTATCGATTTTGCTTTTGAGATCCAGCAGTTCAAGTCGAAAATCTTAACGGGCAAGATGTTAGAAATACGAAAAGACGCCGAATTCCAGTTCAACGTATACCTCACTGTTCAGTTCATTATAACCATTGTAAGCATCATTTTAACAATATGGTATATAGTATGTATCGAAAACATGACATTCAAAATTGCTAATAATGCTGTTATAATAAAATCCAAGTCCAAAGAGTTGGCTGCAGAAAAGTCAGTAACAGAAAGCCTCCAATACCAAATGTTACCGAAGAAAATCGTCATAGCGTTAAAGGAAGCACAAGCGGTTACATCTGAAAACTTTGAATACGTAACCATTTTCATCAGCGACATTGTAAATTTTACTGAGATTGGAACAAGGAATTCAGCAAGAGGGATCATCGACTTACTTAATCATTTATATGCGTAAGTCTCAATTATGTTTGGATTGGTGTCAATTCTAAAGAAATACCAGTTTCTCCCCAACAGTGCAGAAAATATTTCAAAGCACTCTAACACTTATATTTAGACATATTTCTCTCCTTTACTGAAACATAGGAACAGGTTTATTGCGTCACAGTGTTCTTGTCTTAAAACCTCTGATTTCTTAAAAAAAATATCCACTATCTATCAATAAACATGTAGGGAAATTACCTTTCTTTTGCTTTCATAAAAAATAGGGTATATTTTAGTTTAATTTTAAATTTTAATCTTTTTAAAGGTTATTTGACAAACAGACAAAGAAGTACGAGGTCCTCAAAATAGAGACCATGGGAGACTCCTACATGGTAGCTAGTGGAGTTCCGGATCAAAATGGCATAGCACATGCTTTCCATATTTGCAAGTTTGCCCTTGACATTCATAACATTATGAAAGGATATCGTGTTCCAACAACATTTGAAAGAAAAGAATCAATTAAAATTCGTATTGGAATTCATTCAGGTATGGTATTCATTAAAAATTATATTTTTTGTTTTGATATAGTTGCTTCAAGTACAAAAGCTATTGTTTGTCATTTCTGAATTAACATGTTTCTCCTTTTGGATTATCTACAGTAACTTTCAAACAAAATGAAGCTAATACATATAGATAACTTTTTTTTAATATTTACTTTTAATTTTACATATAGGTCCCTGTACAGCTGGAGTCCTTGGTCTGAAGATGCCAAGATATTGTTTATTCGGACAAACAGTTAACACGGCGAAAACATTAAAATCTACCGGAAGAGGTTTGTGAAATTTTCAGTTGTTGAGAGAAGAAACTGATATGTTCCTCTTAAGATAATTTGTTTTGATGAATTAGACAAGTAGATAATGTACAATGTAGACAATAATACCTTATTCTTGTCGGTTGCAGTCGCTTGTTTAATGATTTCATTTTATGCCTTTCTGCAGGAGGTAAAATTCATATAAGCAACAGTACGTACCAAATGATTAAAGATTCTGGACATTTTGCAGTTTTGGAAAGAGGGAATGTCATGATCAAAGTAAGAAAAATTTAAATCCTGATAAAAATACACCTGCATTAGTTGACATGAAGTTGGTTACGTGAACAGACTCTCTTGCAATACATAAGTATGGAAGCTCAGTAAGAACACAAATCAAAATATAAATATATAAAATGTATAATATATATTATTTCAAGTTTCATTGGATATAACAGTTGGTACGTGACGTCATATCCCAATGAAACGCTAAAATGGATATCATATTTCTTACGTAACTTCCTTTTTGTTTCAATTTTTGAGTTACAAATCATTTCAATAGCTTTGGTTTTTTTTTGCTCATCATTGAATCGAACATTACCATCGGCATTAAAAAATGCCCTTTGCTTACTGGCCAATATTTTTAAGCTGGTTATTAAGGGGCGAGTCAAATCAAAGATAATTGGCTATGAATAGAAGATCTGCAGATAAGGATAGCATGGGTGCAGTTATTAGTAACTGTTCTACCTACTGGAATTTGATTGCACGGTGCTTTGTCATTTTTTTTTTTTTTGAGAAACCCCTGTATAATAGTATAATACATCTTTACCTGATGTCGAGTATATGTTGTTTGCTTTTAATCAATCAGCTGCCAGGGGGACAGCGAATGAAAGAGATTAATATTAGAATAGAGCGAAGGATAGTTCCGAAAAGATACACCTTTCTGAGATGATTCATATTTTGAGTGGAAGAACATAAAAGAAATAAGCAATGTTGTTAATATGGTGTGTTTATATCTATCCAATAGATTTTTTAAAATGTATATATTAAAACAAAACGATGGAAATATCTTATGCTTTAATTAAGGATTGTTTTTGCCTCAAATTTTGTCTATGCAGAGTGAGCTGGTGTACAGTACAAACCAAAAGGACAAAAATTTTCTAAAACTTTGCTCAATTGTAGACCTATCGTTACATATGTAGACGAATTTTGTTGGAACAAATATGTTATGAAATACTTTTTGCATCAATAAAAAATACAATGCGCTTTAAGATTTTAAACAATGAGTTTAACAATATGCATTAATACTTCAATCATTAATGATGTCACATGTAAGTTGTTTGTTGTCTAGCATATGAACCGGTGCGGAAACTTTCCTTTATATGCATAAGTTCATCAATTCCCAGGATATGTATCATTATTTATCAGAATCCTTTACAAAATGTCTACAGAGTTTAAATTTTGAATTTTTCCCCATTACTTTGATCTTGTTTGTTTTTGTTTTGAACATATTTTATTGATTAAATCAAAAGAATTGGAAACAAGTTCTAAAATAACTTACTAGTTCCTCTCCTTATATAATACAATATGTCATGCAAATTAAAGAAAAGTAATACAAATGATACAAATAAAATTTAACATATCAACTAAGAAAATCTACATGTTTCATCAATAAATTTATGAACAGCAGCAAAAATACTAATATTATCTGTAAATGCAAATTTTCATCACCACATAGTAATAGGTTTAAATCAAAAGTGACCAATTCAAGCATGAACAAGCGATTGAAAAGAGTATTTCTAGCATTGGAATAATTTTTGCATGCATAAGAGAAATGGTACACATCCTCGCGTTTTCCGCATGAACACGAATGACTATTAATAATATTTCGTTTACATAAATCATAGTTTAGTATACAATAATGTCTTAGCTTAGTATGAATGATATTGGTATATCTTGTTTGTCATTTTTCTTATTGAAGAAAAAAATTAATTTTTCAGTGCTATATATTCTATCTCAGTGTTTAAAACAATTTAAATAATTTTTTTTTTATTTCAGGGTAATGGGGCAATAAAGACGTACTGGCTGGACACAGCAGTTCAAATATCAAGACCTAGTTATAATTGACAATGTTTCAAGTATACAGTGTTATGCATCACAACATTTACATTGTTTCTTCTTTGAAACGCCAATTTATGCAATAGATTTAAAATACATGAGGCACCCCATGTTAATTTCAATAGTCCCCGTCCACTGACATCAGGCACAAAGACAGGTGCGCGAGATTGACATGCACATAAGGCTCCCGACCTTTCACTTGGCGAAATTTACATTTAGGTTTAATTATCAAGAAATCAACTCACCTAAATTTGGAAGAATTATTACAAAGAAAACAGTTAGAAATGTAAATATTTAAGGATATGCAAATTATAATCCATTTAATGTATACTGTTTTGTTTTAATTACCTATGGATAAGTGTTGAATTCTTTGTAAATAATATGTGTCATCTTTAACAAAAAAATAAATAAATTGATCATTTATATTTGAATATAATATCTCACAATTACACTTACTTAATTTGAATCAATTTACATTATTTATTGTTACTTAAAAAAATCAATTATGTGTATTTCACAAATATATTATTTTAATACTTCTAGTCATTTTCCAAGTATTGTGAATTGTACATTAAGCTGTGATTAAATTAAGCTTTATCTAAACAATTCAAGCAATTTTTTAACAAAATTTTCAAGATTTATTTTCCAGAAGCAAATAATGATTCTACCAGTTTGTATTTAAATTTGAATAATATGATTAATGAATATTTTCAAGATATATCCCAAGTGATAAGAGGAAGATAACGAAAAGTGATCGATGTTTTTGTCACGCAATCTACAAAATTATTTAATGATATTGCATAAACATGTGTATTTGAAACGTTTTTATCTTTACTTTAGATGCATCAATTATTGAAAAATAAATAATTTATAAAATGTTAACCCTTCCCTTATGGCATTTTGTTAACTTTGTCATGGTTCTTCTCTGAGGTTTGCACTGAAATTGATGTGAAAATACACTTATGGAACTAGGAAAATCGTTTCAAAGCATAAAGTTTATCACTCAACATATTTAAGTCTGAATCCTTAGCTGTTTTGAGATATTTACATACGTAAGAGAAACCAAAGACGGATAGATTGTTTGACAGACAGCTAGATGTTTATGTATGATGACAAAATTAGCATAAAAGAATTCCATGGGTAATAATTGTGAAAATAATGGCCTGGAAATTTTGTATGAAAAATGTCAACCGACATTCGACTTAACGACATACTGTAAATGCTGACAACGTAATTCTATCGACCATAGAATTTTTGAAATGTTGATTTTTAAATGAAACTGTTGATATTCTTGTAACATCAACTTATTTTTCAGTAGCTTGTCTCGTTTTGGAATTTGTTCGTTTATACAAACATGCTCTCGTGTATCAAATCAACTGGGAGACATAACTCATATTCAGATGATAATGGTATATTGCTACGTAAAGAAGGGAAGTTGACGAATCGACTTAGGAATGACAATTAATATCGTTAATTGATAAAATATCATCGACATATCTAAATTTTGAAATATAAACCACTGCAAGTGATAATAAAAATATCTCTTACTATGGCCAATAAACATGTTATCTATTGAACTTGATAAAAGACACCACCGAGTCTGACATTTAGATCTTTTAGAAAGAAGACATTGATGGCAGACCAACAGCTAAAGTTTATGATAAACGTAATGAATAAACTTTTCTATCCTCCACTTCACCTGGATAGCTATATATCATTATGACCTGCAGATGACATACATGTATTTAAGTTGATTCGATACACAAGTGCATGTTCTACGTTCGAACAATTTTTAAAAAGAGACAGGCTGCTGACGACTGCTTGACTGTGCAAGGAATAAACAATTTCGTTTAATGTCAACATTTCACAAATTTTTTTTTCTGTACAAGAACAATTTTCAAATACTAAGTGTCATTAAATAGTACATACCATTGTGAATTCGTTATTTTCATACCGAATTGTTTACGGAATTCTTCGTTAAACTGATCGTGGCAATGAGGTCAAGGCAAGCGTGATCTGTCGACAGAATATGCTTATCCCTCCATATATGACACCTGATCCCGTCTCTGATGTTTGAAGGGGTCAGTGTTACATGTAGCTCTGCTCTAATTGTAATGTTTATTTCTTTCTTTTCTTTTTTTTTTGGTTAGTCTTTTCATTTTCTATTTTTTCCATGACCGTAAAACTCTTCCCAAGTCTAAAAATAAATATCTAGGATGTTATAATCAGCTCTCAAACTCCAAAGAAACATAAAAAGCTAGACTCACTTTATCCGTAAAATGGTCATGCCCATATATCAATTAAGTGACCAAGAACCAATTTCCCCTTTCAAACATAAATATATATTTGAGAATTAGTGTTTTCAATGTCTTTATAACAAATTTCCAATGAAAGTCCTGATTTGATAAAAAAGAAATGTTCTGATATTAAAAAACCCGAATGTATTCGAGTAACTTCAGCAAAGAATTAAAATATGAGCCCATCTCTTGATAAAAAAAAAAAACAAAAACAGACTTCAGATACAGTTCTTTCATTATATAATTGGACAATTTGAATCAGAAAGCTGTGCTCGATTCAGAATATTTAAAAAAAAAAAAAAGCTTAACTTTTCGTCATTTTTAGAGGAATGATATATAATATATGGACTTGCAAGATAAGTTTTGTGATTTTCAATACATATGCAGGCATCGAGGATTCAAACGATATTCAATGTGTTTTCAACTATAATTTAGCAGTTTTGATTTTTAGAAATTCAAAGGTCCAAGAAAGGCCCTAAGTACGTGTAAATTATGTTCTTTCCATGAAATGACAATACCAGATGTAAGTGATTTTCACAGTTACTGACTTTTGTTTTGATCTTTTAAAAGTAATTCAAAATCCACATTATTGTATTGGGTGAGAATAGGATTACTGTATATTTGTTGTTATCTAATTCAACAACTTTTTGAATAAATTACTGGGATTCAAAGAAGATAGTACAGTGAATCTTTTTAATCTGAATGTGGTATAATTCGAAATCTTGCCTTTCACAAAAACTTTCAGTTTCTATTCTTGTCAACATTTAAACTGCATGTAGTAATACATGTATTTTGCTTAAAGCAAGGAACTGTTGACAAGTTTCTTGAAAGTTAAGGATCAAAACCTATATTTCACTTGAAATAATTGTCCTATTATGATTATCTTCCATACTGATACATGTGTAAGAATATAAACGTCTCAGAGTATTTTATAAATTGAAACGCTTATCAGATAAAGTATGAAGTTTATTATTGCAATATGTACAGCTCTCGAAGGCGAAATTATTCTTTTCATGACAATTTGTGCCCAGTATTTGTGAATTTAAGATTAAAATCATTTTGTAAGTACTGGATGGGAACGTCAACACTGTAATTAGGGCTTTTACATCTTTTTTTTATCTATTCTCTGTCCTCTTAACATTTCAAATATGTGTAAATTCTTTACAAGGCAGTGTATGTCCTTCAAAACGTATAATGCACGATCTTTCCTGATTATTGTTAAATAAAAATTACCATGGGTCATATTTGCCCTCAGTACATAATGACATGCTTGTGATTTTAAAAGTTACATAATTAGTTTGTGCAGTTTCATGGAGTCATCAAGGATGTGAAATCGAAATCTGCTCAGGACGAAACAATGCCTAGTTTTAAGCCACAAACTAATTGTGTAAAGAATTTTCCCCCTGAAGGCCTTTACAAGATCAGAATGTATGTTATGAGGTCAGTAACATAATAGAAATATATAATTTATAAAAATAATTTAAAATATTGAGCACCATATCGATCAGTAATTTTAACAAACCGTTTCCTTTCATCAGATACACGTCGATCATATAATCTTGTGGCTGATTTTTTATACGCCCCCTCATCTGGATGTGATTTGTTTTTAACAAAACAATATTTTGAACTTAGATAAAAAGAAATTGTTTTGTTTAGTATATGTTTCATAATTAAACTCTTTTCCCAATTCTTTCTTGACTTGATTATTTAAATCTAGTGCTAATGAATGTTAAATGTGACTATAAACTGATCTGATTAAGTGGAACTGTGAACTATATTATATCGTAGACCACTCCTTTTTTATGTTAATGGACACTTAATTTGTATAATTTACTGATCTCATTTCTACGAGAACTTTGAACGCTATAATATCGTAGTAATTTACTTTTTATAATAATACTTGTATGTAGTCAAACCCGTAGGATTATAATACACCAATCAATATCTCAAGTATTAGAAAATGCAATCTTGGTATCTAAGTATAATCCAAAATATTTTATCCTTCTTCAGTCAATTCAATGCTTCGATTTTGATTTTTAACTGCAAAGGCTATTTCGTTATTTTTAGCTTTCACGAGCTGAAAGCTCACGTGAGGTTTTTCGAATTTTCTTTTGTGTTCGTCTGTCCATCTTTCTGTACACTTTTAATATTATCGACTTTTCCTCAATAACCAAGGGACATATTTCAACCAAACATGCCGCACAACATGTTTGGGTCAAAGGTATTTACATCTATGAACATCTATCATCCCTTCAAATGAAGGGCCACTCACTCATTCAAGAGGAGATATTTAAGAATTAATGAAAATATGGTGACATCTTTAAAAAGAAAATTTTACCTCGAGAATCAGTGGGTCAGAGAACTTCAATACATCGTGTAGATTCGGGTTTGTTCAAATCATGAAACTGGGGAAAGCATTGGGCCTCAACAGGAGATCAAAGTTTTAAATAGGAATATAAGAATAGGAATATATTGAAAGAACTCTAGTAATCTTTTTTTCAAGAACAGTAGAGCTATAATAAACCATATTGATATGGAAGCATTCTCAGCTAGTGTAGATTCAAGTGTGTTCAAATCATGACCCCGAGGTAAGGCTGCAATGTGATCAAAATTTACAGAGGAATATATAGGGAAAATACAATGAAGAATAGCAGGGCCATAGTTACTTATGTGAGCCTTGTGATCCATTGACCTCTTGTTTCGGAAATATTT